TTTTTTGGGTTCAGTGGATTCGCGGCTCTATGTACTCGCAAAGGGCATTTCGATCCCGTTCTATAGACTACCGGTGAGGGTTGGAGTGACTGCGCCTCCTCCTTCGCTTCTGAACCCAACCAGCATCTCACCACCTCCCACCTCTGCCCGTACACTCCAGGGCTTACTTGAACCGAAATAACAACATAAACTCTCCTCCGTGCACTTATACATGAAAGCACTCCATGTACACCGCCTCTCCCTATTCTAATCCTAACTTACTCTCCGTTCCCACCGCCCTCTCCTCTTTCCACCGCAACTCACCATCGAAGCCGCCTTGCCAAGGCTCCCGTCTCTCTTGGCAACGAGCGGAGCGGAGTGGAAGGAAGCACGCCGCACGATCTTCGATGTTCGCGATATCGCCACCCGATCACTCCCGCCATGACGTACGGGGCTACCCTACCATAAGTGTGAATTGGAACCGTGTGATTGCGCCGCGCTGCATAGGTTGGCATGTGATAAAACCTATAATCTAAACTTAAGCCCAGCCTCAAGTCTGCTTGAAAAACACATTGAGGCAAGACATATACCACATTGGGGTAGGGGTCAAAAGGTAGTCGATCAGTGTTAGGTCATATTGGATATATCGCGTAGATGTAGCACCAGACCCCGCTCATGAATAACGGCTCTACGTTAGGCCCTTCAACATGCTTCCGCAACATGCTTCCGCAACATGCTTCCGCACCCTCATCAGAAGGACCTTGCGCTATACAGGCCTCCAATTCCCCTCTACTCCGCGCCTTTCCTTCAACTGTCAGGTTGAGCCGCCGTTTCGTGGTATCCGCCTCGCGATCCCCCTCAAACTACCTCTCACCATCCGGAGAGGGGTATCATACCATTACTTCCATGCAATTCGAAACCGAAACCAAGACAGCCATTCGCTAACAGCTGGCTTCCACATTATTGCTTCTCCTCATCAACGGACACGCCCTGGGACAGATATCTCTCGAAAACACGAGTCTCGAGATCGATGCTTCCCCTGCGAACGCCCTTCTTCTTGTCCTGCCTGCGGAAATACACGCGCTTGGCCCACTTCCAAGACTCGACACCCAGGAAGAACAAAAACGTGTTGACGAATACGATTCCCCACTCCCAGCTGATTCCCTTGTGCTTGAAGACAGTCTCGTTGATGACAGGGATGTAGAGAACAGGGAAAATGGTGATGAAGCCGGCTATGATGGCGAAGAAAAGGAACTTGTTCCGCCAGACATCGTGGAACCACTGCGTGAAGTACTTATTGGAACCCGGCTGCATGCGGAAGAAAGACCGGCGCATGTCAACCATCTGCCACGCCAAAAAGAGGGAGAACCAGGTGAGACAGGCGAAACATGTCGCTCGTGCGCGGAACACGGTGTCGCAGCGATATGTGTAGTGCTCGTTGCAATTGTCGCCGAGATCGCCATTGCCCCAACCGTAAAGGACGAGGACGAAGCCGGCTAGACAGAGGGCCGCAATCCACAAGCCATAGACCACCATGTCGAGCATGACCTCGAGGGTGAAGACGCCACGTTTGAGATCCTGAGGGGGGCGCTTGAGAACATCGGGCGCCGCCACTTCAAAGCCCAGACCCATATCCGGGAGACCAGAGGTAACCATGATGATCCACATGACTTCTACAGGGGAGAGAGGAAACACGGACAGGTTGTTCTGATCCTTGAAAGCGAGACCAACCAGCAAAGTAACGGCTTGAGCAACGTTCTGCGCGAGCAAATGCAGAATGAATTTCTGGATGTTGTCAAACATGCGGCGACCCTCTTCAATAGCGTTTAGAATTGAGGCGAAGTTGTCGTCGGAAAGGACGATATCGGATGCGTCTTTGGCGACATCGGAACCAGTTCCCATACCGATACCGACGTCAGAGCGCTTGAGAGAGGGAGAGTCATTGACACCATCACCAGTCTAAGAATCCATTAGCTCATCCTACGATACTGTCTAAGTGGGTTCTAATCGGCTTACCATAGCAGCGAATGCCTTCCTGCGGTGCAGGGCTTCAATCATCCGCACCTTTGTGTTAGGAGCGCAACGGGCGATGACCAGGGGCAGGAGAGGCAACTGGTCAATCTCATCGTCCGAAAGAGCGTCGAACTGGCTTGCTGTCATAACCATGGCGTCACTGACATCCTTTGCCAGAGTATACATATGGGAGGGCAGAATACCGACTTCCGCCGCAATGGCTCGAGCCGTGCCAGGGTGATCACCAGTAAGCATGTGGACTGTAATGCCAGCCCTCTGGCAAGAGCGCACCGAGCGAGCGGATTCAGGGCGGGGCGGGTCGTAAAGACCGACGAGACCACGGAAGGTCAGGTTGTCCTCTACGCCATCACGGCTGATCTCCTGGTTTTTGGCGACCTCGCCTTCGTAATCCTTGCTCGCCAGCGCCAAAACACGGAGACCTTGACGGGCCAATGCTTCCATGTTGACGAGAATATCCTCACGGACCTCGTCAGTCAAATCAGCGGGCGTCTCGCTGTCTTTCGGGAAATAACGTGGGCAAGAGTAGATGACACGTTCCACAGCGCCCTTGGTGAAGACGAACTTCTTTCCGGTCTCTTCGTGTTCATAGATTACGGACATCTTCTTCACGTCGGAATCGAACGGGAATTCAGCTAGTTGCTTCCACTGCGGCTTTTCACCTTGTGTAAGGCTGAGGCGATTCCAATGAAAGCGAGAGGCGAAAACCTGAATAGCAATTTCGGTAGGGTCACCACGGGCTGTCCAGGAACCGTCCTCCATTTGATGAACATGGGCCAAGTTGGCAAGCGACGCAATCTTCAGGAACTCGAGCAGATCGTCGTTGTTGTTCAGGAGATCCTCACTGCGGTGGGCTTGCTCAATCTTCTCGAAATCTACCTCCTTTGGTGGCTTCGCGGTAAAGGTGAGGTCGCCGACGGTGGGGTTTGTGGGCTCATTCGTGTTTCCAACGCCATAAGTGCCCTTTGCGGGAATCCAAGCCCTCTTGACGACCATTTTGCCCTGAGTAAGTGTGCCGGTTTTATCCGAACAGATATCTGTTGAACGTTAGCAAAGTGCTGAGAATCAGGAAGCGCATTTCCTACCAGTAACACCTCCTAGAGCCTCCAGAGACTTCAGGTTGCGGACAATGACGTGCCTCTCCACCATGCGTTTTGTTCCGGCAGCCATTGTGATTGTCAAGACGACGATGAGAGAAGCAGGAATCATACTCAGGCCAGTAGCCACAGCGTAGATGACGACTTCCTGATTGTTGGAGAATTTGTTGGCGGCCATGACAATGACGGCGCAGACAACGGCAATTCCGAAAAGCAGCAGTGCCAGGCGGGACAGCTTCTTTTGGAGGGGAGTGCCAATGTTGACCCCCAGGAAGTGCCCAATGGCATCGCCCGCAGTTAGCCCCCAGGCCTGAGCATATCGATGGAGCCCAGCTTTTCCTTTCTCATTTCGCTTGACTTCCCTCTTCTTTTTGTCCGAGTTGCGCAGAGACGAGGCAATGAAGCCAATTTCCGTGTACAAGCCGGTTGCGTATACGACACCTCTGGCACGGCCCTTGGTGACAGTGGAGGAGCTGTAAGCGACATTCAGGCGATCGCCAGGGCCGGTGGGGACGGGGAAGATAGCATCAGCATCCTTCAAAACAGGGAGAGACTCGCCGGTGAGGAGAGCTTCGTCAGTTTCGAAGTTAACGGCTTCAATGAGACTGCAGTAAGGTTAGAGGATTGGGTTCATGGTGGCGTATAGATATGGGGAAGGGGACCCACCGAACGTCACCTGGGATCGTGTCACCAGTCTTCATTTCTACCATGTCGCCAGGGACAATCTCAGCGGTGGGGATAGTGACGGTCTTTCCGTCGCGGACAGCATTGGCGGTAGGCGAACTGAGCGATCTGAGAGAATCCATGGTCTTCTGCGCCTGGAATTCCTGCCAGAAACCGACGACAATGTTGATGATGATGATGGCGGCAACGACCCCACCCTCAATCCAGGACTTGATGCCAAAACTGACGGCCATTCCTAAGATCAGGACCTGTACCCGTGTTAGCAGAGAATTGCGGAGCTCTGGAGTCGATAGTGGTAACTTAACTAACCAATGTCATGGCGTTGGCGACCTGGCGCAGGAGGATCTTGCCGGGCTGGACGCCCTTATCTTTCCCAAGGTCATTGTTGCCAAACTCGTCATGACGGGCTTTGGCTTCAGCGGTGGTCAAGCCATCATCGCCGTGACATCCGAGTTCGTCGAGGACCTCTTGATAGGTGAGGGCATAGGCGGGCTTGGAGAGGGGCTTGTTTGACTGTCCTGAGACATGTCCTACGAGAGAGGCATCTTTCTTCTTTCCCAAGGCCATGGCGTGATGGGAATGTTATGGCTAGTAGGAGAGAAGGCGGAAACCGGGGGAGGGCCATCCTTTTTAACACCCTGCCGGGCAACATGGTAGGCTGGACATGGTAGGCTGGAGTGGTGACAGCCAAGATTAATATGCTTGGCGAACGGTCTCAGCGCGATCTTGGGGCAGAAGGCTGGTGAAGGCGGTGCGACGTCATGGTTGTTGGCCATCAATGTCGAGGCTGCTCGCACAAAGGACAGAGGATGATGCACGTGTAGCTATCGCCAGGAGTGGACGGGAGAGTCAGGGCTTCGTACGTAGCAGATGATCAAAGTCCAGTACTGACATCTGCTATTCTGTTAGCTTTTCCTGCAATTGTTTTCTGTCCCTCAATCTCTTTCTCCATAGTTGTGGTGGGGTCGGCCGATGCCGTGGGGTTGAATCGGTTCGCTGGGCGGGGATGCTTGTCGCCCTCCGCTCCACCGAAGTACAGCCAAGACCAAGCCAAGCCGTAACCAAGCCACGGCCGCCGCCCTAGTCGCAAGTTCGCGCCGGAAGTTGGACATTGCCAAGTTGGCGGGAAACGGATCTCGGCACCACTCATCGCCTGCAATCATCAGCAGTCGGAGCGGAAACGGATGACTGAGCATCTCAGGAGCCTCTGATTGACCAACAGGAAAGCGGCGGTGTGCTTGGCAGTTTCTCGGGGCTCCTCTTGGCCCGGTGAAAATGTCGTGGCAAGGCGGCGTCTTCCCACACAGTACACCACACCATCGTGGCGGGTCCGACTTTTCTCCTAATCAGCCTATCGTGGCTCGGCCGGAGGTCACCATCCGTTTCGGACATCTCCCCTCCCAATGAGGGAAATAGCAATCATGTGATCACCCGGTGTTCGGTCGGGAATCTGTCACCTACTGTGTATTCTCCAACCCTGTCTTGCCTGAGCGTCTCCATGATGGTCTTCTTGGGCGTCTCAGGTTCAACAGAATGCCTAAACCTGGCGCTAGCATTGCATGATAGGATGGGGGATGGACGGGGAATGACTAAGAAAAATAGGGAAACGGATCGTCACGACTGGGGAGTGGGAGCCGGGAGCCGGGAGACATAAAGTTTGGAGTGAAGCTGCACAAAGAGAAACACGCCAGCCACACTCCCGTCTTAGAAATGTCACCGTCAGGCTAACATGATACTAGATTTTCACTGTGACCTGTGCAGACTACTCCGTACGGTCGCCCAAGAGCTGCGAGAAACTCCCTTCCGAAGGCTATTGTAGAACTCTTACCTAGTGCAAATGTCTCTAATTTTCTGTTTCCTTCCTAACACACGACGAAGATAGAGAGAAAAGGAGCACCTAAAATCATTTCCGAAGATACAAAGTGAAACCGTCTAAGCTTATCCTCTCTAACCTTTATCTACTGTTTCATTTTTGCACCGTCTCTGTTCCTATCTCTGTATACATCTCCTACCTGGCTTTAATTTCTCTTCCCTAGCTCCCCGTGCCCGCATTCATAGGTTGGCACAACAGACGTTCGACATCCGAAGAACGCAAATGAATCTTTCTGTGCCTTCTTTCCATATACCCCTCCGTACTGTTTCTCAATGCCCTTATATATTTCCTCATGGAAACCATAACCTCCGTCTCCTTTCTCGACTTCGGAGGCTCCCTACAGCAGTACATCTACTATCCCTTACACCATTCCGTCACTTGAACCGGCTCATCATCTACAACTACTAAAAACACACTTACCTATACCAAGCACCAGTCAGCATCCCCGTATCACGTCGTTTGCATCACGCAAGGCAAAGAATACTGCGTTCGAAGCCAGAGAAAACTTTTGCATTCATCACGAGGCTGTCTGCCCGCAGAGAAGCCACCGAAAAACCAGAGGAAGTCCACCGCACCCCAACCCACCCCGAGAAAACCAGCAGAAAGAACCCAGCAAACACCGACCCGCCGAACCGAAACCACCCAAGTAAAAAACCACCAAACCAACCCCGAAACAGCCACCGAACCCGCACCCAGAAAGAACCGCCAGGAGGGGAGGAGAGGAGGAGGAGAGGAGGTGAGAGAAGACCATGGGAGGGAGCTTGGCTCAACGTCCCAGAGGGTCGAGAGGAGAGGAGGGGAGGAGAAAAGGAGGGGAGGAGGAGGGAGCAACCGCTCAACGTCCCCCAGGAAGCAGTCCTGTCCCCGGACCGTCGATCATGGCCATGATGGCCGAGAAGGTGGAGGGGCGGGAGGGATCAGGCCGGCGTGGCCTCGCCGAAGAAGAGGAGGAGGAGCAGGAGGGAGAGGGAGCCGGGGCGGGGGCTGGCGCCGGCGCCGGCGCGAGAGAAAAGGCGACGGGGCCCTTGGCTTTGGCCGGGCGAGGAACCGCGATTCTCCTTCCCGCAGGAGCGGCTGCTGGAGCTGGTGCCGGTGCCAGTGCTGGAGGAGGGGCCTGGGCGGGCTGGGAGGGGGTGAGAGAGAAGGAGATGGGCCCGGAGGCATTGGGCGGGGGAGGAACCGCCCGCCTCTTGTCGGAGGAGGAGGAGGAGGAGGAGGAGGAGGAGGAGGAGGAGGAGGAGGAGGAACCGTCGGGGGGGCGGAGAGGAGGCCCGTCTCTTCCCGGGATTGGAGGCCGGGGCAGAGGAGGCGGCGGAAGAGGAGGCGGCACCAGCGCGGGAGGCAGCACCCCGAATCGCAAACCCCGTCTCCGGGTTGCTGATTGGGGAGGTGGTGGTGGAGGAGGAGGCGGGCGCCGGAGCTGGAGCGGCCGAGGGACCAGGCGCCGGGGAAGCCACAGGGGCAGGAAGAGGAGGCGGAAGGAGGCTCGAGGAGGGGGCCTGAGAGGCCACTGGGGTGGTGGTGGGAGCGGGAGTGGGAGCCAAAGGAGCCGTCACAGGCACTGAGGCCTGGAGAGGGGCGAAGAAAGAGAGGGCGAGGGTCGAGGAGGGGGGCGGGCGCAGGAAGGTGAACCGCCGCGGTGCCAAACGCCGGTCCCGGGGCGGAAGGGGGCACAAAGGTGCCAGCGAATGTACCACCGCGGGCCACGAGGGAGCGGTCCGACGGCCAGAAAGGGAGGACCGGGAGAGGAACACCAGGGGGAGGAGGGGCATACGCCGGCATCGTCGCCGAGTAGGGGTCGGTGTATGTTGGGGCCCTCCACCCCACTTGACGAAGCCACTCCTCCCTGTCGGTGATGGTCTGGAATTCTGGCTGGTATCTGGGCTTCCGGTCTCCATAGGTGTACACAATCTTGGGCCGCGGCGCGATGTGAGGACGGGGCCGGGAGATAGGCTCTATGCGAGGAGCCGGTCGGAAAAACGACCTTGTGGACCGGGAGGAGCGGAGAAGATAACCCGCCTGGGGGGCAGGCTGCGGGGCCAATTGTGATCGAGGACGGGGCGCTGGGGAGGGAGAAGGAGCCGCCGAAGGAGAGGGAGAGGAGGCCGCCGAGGAGGTGGGAGACGAGAATGCCGATGAATTGGGCGAAGGTTCCGGGACGGAGAAGGAGGAGGGTTGTGGCGGGACCCTTGGAACGAAGAGAGGATGAGAGGGGGAGCGAGGATGAGCCTGTGCGGACAGGTACACAATCCAGTCTTCTGCCCAGACGAAGAGAGGGTCGAATCGGGCTCTGATCTCGCGGTAAATCAACCGCCAGAAGAAAAGAAGGACGCCGCGGAGAATGCCCAGGAAGAAGACGAAGATGCCACGGAGGAGGTTGCCGACCTTGCTTTGATCGTCGTACTCGTCGTCATCCTCGTCTGGCTCGTAGTATACGTAGTCGAGGAACCGCCGGCACGTCTCTACAATCGCGAAAATGAGGGCGAGGGCGACGTACAGCCACCTCGCCCAGTCATCGAGCTGCGCCCAGACGACAGCCAGGAGGAAGAGCCAACCGGACCCGACGATGAGGCGCTTGCTTCCACGCGAGAGCTCGTCTTCGGAGAGGTTCCACCAGATGACATGGACGAGAGGGGAGACGATAATCGCCGCGCGGACGGGGGCAGTCACGGAGAAGAAGGCGGTGGCGAGGGCGATGCCCATGAGGAGGAGGTGGAACATGGTGAGGTGGTCCATTATGATCGAAAGTGAGGAGAAGATCGTAAATGGGAGTGTGATATCGAAGATGGGAGCAGCTGCTGGTAGGCTTGATTGCAGAAAACTTCGCGGACTAGGTCGACGCGGGTTGTCGAATGTAGTTGAAGAGAGGAAGGAGGAGAAGGGCAAGACGGAGGATTTTTATACGCGACGCGCACAATGGCTCTGCCACCTATTGTGTATTGAAGAGAGTCCAACGGAATAGGAAGGCACGTGCGTTGCGTGGGCGACGCGGTCGAAGGTGTTCTGGATCTGGTGAAGTGTGCTGAAGTCGTCTTTCACCGACACCGAAAGTTGGTTGTGACGTAGGTGACTGTGGAAGGTGCTCGAGTGCGTGATTCAAGAATGGGAGACCTGCAGGAGAGGAAATGTCATATATTCATCAAACGAGAAGTTTATATGGCTTACTGGAGTTAGATTTAGGGTTAGGTTGGAAGATGTCGAGGCGAGAGAATGTGGTCACTCATGGATCTCATCGTGGTTAGCGCAAGGCTAGAACAGCAAGACCACTGTTTATTTAAGGCTCTCCGAAAGCGGGATGTATAAGGGAGAAGAAACAGGTGCAGAAGGAGAAACGCAAGTCTTTCATTGGCAGATATTCGCTAAGGAGAGCGTAACACGACAGTGAGCGACAATATGGGCAAAATGCTTCCGACTTCTTCCCTAGACCAGCGAGTAGGCATTACATCTCTAGCAACAATAGCAACTGCTTGAAAAGTCGGAGGTTGGAGGACTATATACGCGCGTCATGTACAACATGTGTCCAAGTGCCCGTTTGCGATTCTCTTAGCACAGCGGGACCAGGTCGGTCTACATCGGTCTAGAGCTTGCTAAAACGGAGAAGGAAGGACCTCTCCTGCAAAGCAAACTAGGAGATGAGTAGCAGAGAGAAAGCTTGAAGATTGTAGAAGACGATTCCGTCTAGCGGGTTTGGAGGTATCTTTTAGGCTTTGCCCTACAGTGCCAGAAACATCTCTGAAGGTACTCTGACGTTCCAGCAACAGGGAGACACAATGACATGTACGGCAGAAAAGAACTCAAACTCAGTCATGAGTGCGTTTCCGCTTTCCGTATTTGATCTGACAACTAAAGATAGAGAGACGGCAAATATATTGGACAGCGTTACAGAAAACGGACCTGAGAGTTTTACATGATGCTCATCAGGCGCGGTATTCAGATTCCTGCCCTCATCCACCCCTCCACGCATTCGAACCACTCCTCTATGCTCTTGTCGTTGAGGCCATCTGATCTTAATACCTGCTCTACCATCGCCCGCTCCCCAGGTTCCCAGTGCTGAATCTCAGGAAATATCTTCAGCCAAGGTAATCTCTGGACATAATAGTATCTATTTCTCCCCTTAACCGTCCGCGTACGTTTTGAGGCAATCGCTAGTACCTCGGTACGCCCTTTGTTGGTCGGTAACAGAGCTATTCTCTCCTGTTTCTCCCTTACCGTAAGTTCGAAGAATACCCCAAACCGGATTATCTGCCACACATCCACACGTTCGGGATCGCCCTCCCTAAGTAAGACTGTGGGAAGGCGGCATCTGGATTTGTCCGGTTGGAGGATATCAAAATGCCTTACGACGTATTTAAGCGTTATGTGCGGATTCTGTTGACAGAAGCGTCTCACCGGGTGGGAGCTGGCAATACAGAACACGTCGCGTATGTGATCTTCGAAATCATTTGCGTGGAGGCCAAGGGGTGAATTTGGTGGGTGTTCCTTATGGTACCAATTCCTTCCCTTGTTAACGATGATCCTCATGGACTCCACTGCTCGAGGGGGCAAACTGCTTAGATATCTCGAGAATAATAAAGTTCCAGTCCCAGACGTATCTGGCCATTCTAACGCGCTCAATCTCAGCTCCTGCCATCTCGTCTCCTTCAGCAGTTGGCGGTTCACGAACTGCAACTGATTGAACCACGGCAAACCTTTTGGTGGCCGCGGTTTGTAGTCACTGGCTTCACAGATTCTAAAGCGTTTCAACGTGTCATCGGTTGGCTAATTATCAAAAGGACGATAATATTTCAGACCCGTCGGTGAGTGCAAGACATAAGAGTAAATCATATTGCGAACCTCTCCTGGGAGTCGAATAAACGGCGATGGTGAATCCGGGACTGCTCCGCCAGTATTCTTGTTCTTTGCAGCAAGCTCAGCTAAGCGGGCTCGCAGGCGGGTGTTCTCGTATGGAGCCATTTGACTCAGTTCGATTTGAAGCAGACGTCAGCAATGTAAACGACGGCGTTTGTGGGTCTTGAAGCTTTCTGGAAACTTAGAATGCAAGACACAAGTTGGTAGTAAGCGATTATTCGGCCTTGACCTGGGTAATCTGGAGAGTGTGGAAGACTTTATAGACGCCCGATAACCAGGCTACGGTTGGGTGCATGGGTTTGACGAGACACATGACCGTCGCTTTGGTAGTTGACAAGCGGTATCTGGTTTGACAAACGTTAGTGAATTGTTTGTCAAAGTTACCGCCTCCACCATCAAGGAACGTGTGATGGGTTGGGAAACGGGAGAGCAATCAGGAGCAAGCTCCTATGGCGAGAAATGAGCAAGACAGCAATAACGTAATACAAGAAGGCATAGAAAGACAAAGAATATTAGATTAAACACATCCAGCAAGAAGTCCTAGTCCGATATATACGGTACAACTCCATGCGAAGCAACCAGACCACCCCCAAGTTCTATTGTCCAGACATGAAATAGCACTCCCACATGAACCCCTAATCTTACACAACGAACCGCACCACCAACCCCTTAAGCGGCGGAAGGAGCGGGAGCTGCCGAGGGAGCAGGAGCCGCAGGCTGAGGATTGACATCGGCGCAGAACAGCGCCTGGCCTAAGAGAGGCAGCACACAGCACTTGGCCTGCTGGCCGGCAGCGGCGCAGATGTCAATGAAGCTGTTGATGCCGGTCGGAGATTGAGGAGCTGGAAAAGTAATGTTAGTTGGTGGACGGGGGAATTACTACTACGAGCTGCACATACGAGTTTGGCAGTCCAGGTCGGCGAGGTTGAGAACGTCGGTAGCGCAGCAGAAGGGCTGCCCGCCGCCGGAGCAGAGGCCGGCCTGGCGTTCCTGGATCATGGCGGGGATGGCGAGGGCGCCGGTAGCAAAGGCGAGTGTGGCGGTGAAACGCATTTTGGGCTTGGTTGTTTGGGTGGTTGGACGAAGATGTGTGCGGGAGATGGAGCGGTGGCTGCGGAATCGAGAAGTATTTGTGTGTGTGGCGGAAGCTGTTGTTGATGTTCCGTCAGAGAGGGATTTGACCTCTCTTTTATACCTTTCGAAATGCTCTCAGTCCAAGGTTGAAGTGCACTTCGGCATCATCGTCTGTGAGTCCCAGAAGTCAAGTTCAGCAGGCGGAATATCTTGTACGTCGTCATCATGAGGTGCTTCTCTCGGCCATGATCCTTGTTATCTCCCAGTTGAGCGATCTGAAAACTTGTTCCTGGCCATGAAGGGCAGAGACAATTTTAGACTTCCAGTTGGCTACCCCATGTTTCCCTTCGACGGTAGCGTGCAGAGATGATGTAGATCCCCATATTCCAGCTTCAATGCGCGTCGATCAAGAGCGGAGGGCGGCACTGCCCCAGGGTGGAGTGGAGCAACCGTTGGTGATATGCAGATCATTAAGGAGTGCAAGAACGCGGCCGCGAGCTGCAAGAGGTGCATACCCTAGGGTATTCGGGCAAGTGGCTAGAGGAGGCAGTGATAGAACTTCGAAGGCAACGTGTTGCGTCACAGTCACGATAAAGAATCAACTGACCGGGTTCGAGGGTTTACAGCGCAGAGGGGAGACGCCGGATAACCTGATATTCTTTGCGCGGCCATGTTACTACGGTATTATATCTGATGCATGGATTGCTCGCCGCGAACAAGATGGAACACTTGAGGCTGGAGAAGTGACGTCGTTGCCAGGTACTTTGGAGCACTGCATAAGTACGACCCATTTCCAAAAGCTTGTTTTCACGTCCTGCCCTCAGAGAAGCGAGGGCCGGGTCCTAGGCCGTGGCCTAGGAGAATAAACGCGTGTTACCAATCAGCTGAAGGGGTGAAGATGTGGCAAGGTGCGGCATCAGGGACGTCCCTTGCGGGAGGGACATGGGCTACAGCGGTTCCTCTTTCTTGCTTTTGCAGTCAGCATTCCTTATTAGAACCTCCAATTATCTCGGGAGTGGCGAATATAATCGCATTGCCACGGCTGCGCCGTTGAATATCGAGAGGCGGTGCAGATGCCGATCGCAACGGCGAGTAGTCCTGGCGAATGATGAATAGAACGAGGGCCAAGGACTGGACGTTTATTACGCAGAATCTAAGTAGACGGACTAAAAGAGCATTGATATAGTCCAGGGGTGTATTATATTGTCTTGACTGACATCGGCAGCGACAACCCTGACACCTTGGGGCATGAATCAATTCACCAATTCACTCAAGGCGGCTCACTTCGCACTAGAAATCTTTGCTGATACGCATCTGTCCTTTTACACTAACTTCAAGCAGCCTTGAGCTACACCCAAATCTCCCGCGTAAGACCGCATACACTTGTTGAAGCAGGCGCCCCTTGGCCATGCAGGTGGCTGAACGGCTCTCCGCACAGCCCCTTGTCATTCGTCCCGCATTGCGCACGTCCGCTATTCTCTCAATTCGACCGGTTCTTGCCGCCCAGCCTCATCCTCACCTTCACGACACATTCACGAGGCAACAAAAGGCCTGCAGACATGGGCCCTGCGAGTGATATCAAGACACATGCAAGGGCAGACGAGGTGCAGGAGGCGCTTGGGTACCGTGATGAACAGTGGCATTGGTTCTACGTAAGTCCTTTCGTCCATCCCGTCGTCCTTTTGTTGCACGCCGCGCCGAACAAAGCATGCGGCAACCCTAGTTAACACAATGCAGTGGCTTACAAGAGAGGAAGCAAAAAAGCTCATTACACTGCACCCAGACTGTCCTACTTATACATCTTTCCCTCCAAGAGAGCAAATCCAGCTGCTTGAGCGCCTGAATGCAACGCTATCAAACGAGGGTATACCACCTATCACTTCCCAGGTTCTGAAATGGCGCATGTCAACCTTGATTCGTGATCTAAAAAAGAGGCAGCAGCGTAAGTCAAAAGTAGGTATCGCATGCATCTCCGCCGTCATACTGATCGTCGTCCATACCAGCCGCCACTCAAGCCCAGGATTCAAGTTCGGCAGCAGGTGCCAGGACGGCCCAGCGTTCAAGCTCAGCAGCAGGTGCTTCTACTGCTTCCAACACGTCATTCGATCCCATAAGGGATATATGATGTGACATGAGCATCTTCACGGCAGATCGCTTAACATCTCTCGTCTGTTACTGATCGCAGGGACTCATCTCCCCTGGGCGTGGGTTGGGCGCTCCTGGCCTATGATGGATGAGCTGGTTGGCGTTTTGGTTCGAGTTGATTGGGAAAAGGCTGCCCCTTTTCGTGTGGGATCCCATGACCGCGGCATGTATGTGGTCCGTTGGACAGAGCAAACATGCAGCTTTCCCATTCCTGCTGCAGTAATCTGTCCAAAACACTCCCCCCTGCGCTCGTCTCAAAGTGCACTCTTCACTTCTCGAATCCTCGTTCTCCCGCTGTGCCACACCACCGTTCGTCGGTGACAACCTGGCTGAATGGTTTGAGTGGTCAAGTTCGTATTAGGTCCATTGGAAGGAACATTTTTGACAGGTGTTAGGTCCTTTTTAGGGCTAGCTTGCTTCAACAAACCTTTGGAAGCGGAATTCATGAAGACATCAGCCTCACCAAGCATGGCGACCAGCCATGTACGGGATGAGACATAGTATGCGCGTGTGTGGATTTACGCTTATGAACACGTTGATGGATGTGTCTTGTCTTCAAACGGCCAGGCTTGAATCCACTGACTCCTCTCCTCTTCAGTTCGCGCGAAGCGATTGAGAAAGTCCTCCCGACATCTAGCCAACCGCTCCTTATACACCGGGTAGTTACTATGATTGACCCAGCCATCCCATCCTTGGTATGCGCCGATCTCGGTCAGAATCTCATGCATCAGCTCGACTCCTGCGCTCCAACTCGCCTCGAGACGTTGCTGCTGCGTCCTATCCTCCGGAGAGAAGGGGAGCAGGGTATGGAATCACCAATACATGTGGCCCACTCGGCCTGGAGCCGAATGAGCATTCCCAGGACGATCGGCTCTCCATCGCAGAAAATTGAGCCTGCTAATCCCGTGATTTGACCACGCAGGCTAGCTCGGAATTGCAGCGCATCAGCAATCTCCGGACATTGCCGGAGCATGATAATTTCGTAGAGCTTATAGAGAGACTGAGCAGCGCGGAGATTCTTGGCTTGGAGTTGTTCCTCCTCGCTCATATCATCAAAATTATCGGGTAGCTCGGTGGGATCAGAGCCTTCGGGTATTGGCCCTTCAAACTCGATGAGCGACGGATGGCATGCTTGGAGGAAGAGCGGGGAGATATTGACGGCTTGCCAGTCGATGATGTTGACGATTCTTGTCGGCTGGGAAGGGTCAACGAATATGTTGTCGATATGCAGATCGGAGTGCCATAAAGTCGGCTTTGACAGGTTGGCATCGTCGGGTAGAATCTGGGTGGCGACTTTTAGGTAATCCTGGAGTACTCTGATCTTCAATGCTTTGCTTGGACGGTATTGGTTGGGACCGCCGAACAGCCCGTGCTGTCCAGGGAAAGACGAGGACTTGTTGATGCACGCTAGCTCTCGAGCGGCGCGGGAAAGAATATATTCCTTTTCTGAAGGCCCTGTCAAACAGTTAGTCTGGGTCAAGCACAACAGCGAACGTAACGGAACTTACAAGGCCCACTATTGAATTCGACAGAGTCTCTTCCTTGGTCGAAAAATGCTCTGTTCGTTGTAGGACCGACCACGAAGGCTTCTGCCTTGTCTATCGAGTTGGCGGGATCAAGAAACTGGCTTGGGCTGGGGCTAGGTAGGTCCTTTGCGTAATACAAGCTCCCGTTCATGGGAATCTTCGCAGAAACAAAGGCTTTTTCGTACCCAGCCAAGGTCCTGACAATCTCCAGTCTTTCCTTCCAAGACATGTCATTCCATAACCTGCCCAATTCCACCCCTCCACTGCCTTCCATCAGGATGTACTCGGCTCTAACGGGATTGTCCGTCGAGGAACTCCAGCCATATACCCGAGGAGCCGGGATACCAAGGACATTTCGAACCTACAACGCAAGTTCATCTCAGCAACCATCAGAAGTATTGGATCAGGGAACCAATACATAATCCATTGTAGCAGCTTCGCTGTCTGTCGTAAAGTGCGCTCGTCCAGCATTCGGGTTCGGGAGTTTGGCGATTACATCTCGGCCGTCGTCCATAGTAATCAAGAAGACTTTGCTGAAGTTTCATCTCGACCTTGACGCAGGAGCGAGCTCCGATCGCTTGCGCCGAGACTTGGAGTCCCTGCAAGTCGAACTCGACATAGCGGCGAGCAAGCTGATACTTTTCATTCCACAGCCATCGACCCGAAGTGTATCTGTAAAATTGCTCTACATCACAGTCTTGAAGGATGTCGGTGCCGTGTGAAGTCGACATGTACTGCCGGGAATGCGGTGATGCGTGCCAGATTGGTGGACGCAGCTTCGCAAACCGAGAAGATTTGAAGACATATCGGCGGAACGAAGTCATTTACAAAAGAGCTCAGAATTGTTAGAGAAGCTAGATGCACCACGCCTACTGTGTAGGGCTGAGATGTCGACCCGAGTCCCTTGCCGCGCCATCCCACTTTGAGACTAGCTTCCTGCGGCGTCACTGCCGCTTCCGCGAAGAACACTGTGTGCCTGTTCTTGGCAGTCCAATCAATCGCCTTGCTTTAAATTATTGCCAGGGAAATTATCAAAAAGCTTGGCCAATGAGACACTCCCTTTTTCATCCTGGGTATATAGAGTACTCATTACAATACTGTCGTCACCCCTTCGACGGTTTCCATGTTTGGTGGCCGACGTCAGTTGCTACAGGGAGTCTTCCAGGCGAAACTTGGCTGAGGCATGATAGAACGATGGGAGAAGGGCAGGCTTCCTGTTGTAACTGAGCCTGTTTTGAGAAGGCTGCGGTGAAGTGACAACCGACTTTGATATGTGATGCCATCATGTATTCTCACAATGGGGCACTACATCCATGCAAAAAGGGAAAGTAAGCCTGATGATGAAGGGTTTACTGAGAGGCGGTGTATATTATATAATTCCGAATAGGTGGTATGCAGCCCGAAAAAGCGACGCCGCAGGATGCTACAATAGAAATACAACAAGAAAAGAGATCTAAAGCAACGCCGCCTATGCTACCCGAAAATGCAACGCGATGCAAGACTGAAAAGAAACCAAACCCGCATGAGATTACTATCCCTTACACTTTTAGTATCAGCTGAAGAAGCGGGGATAGAGCTTCTTCCACCAGCTCCGCGGCGACTCTTCCCAGACTTCTGTGACTTCCTCGTTGAATCGACCAGTCACCAGGTCCGCCTCGGATGACTTGACGAACTTGCTCCTAGTCACCACCTTGTGACCGACATAGGCGACGACGAAAAGAAGGAGGCTGACATAGGAGATGAAGAAATCCTGAGTGGACCATGGGACAAAGGCAGTGAAGCCTTGCGTCAAGGTGATGATGACGCAGAACGTAAGTCCGTACCATGCTAACCACCGTCCACCCCAAGACTTGAATGGCAACGTATCGCGGGCGATGTTCTGCGAGTCCATGGCATCCATGAAGCGGAGATGGCAGATGAAGGTGCAAGACCAGGCGATGAAGCCGGCCACACTAACGATGTTCAGAAGCCAGTTGAAGACCGTCCCACCACCCTCGGAAAGGTTCATATACGCCAACAGTCCGAACGCGGCTGTGATGGAGACGGCGACCCACGGCACGCCCCGCTTGGTGGTCTTCTGAAAGAAGCGCGGTGCGCAACGTTCCTCGGAAAGGCCAACAAGAACACGGCTGCCGGAATAAACGTTGGAGCTGGCTGCCGAGAGGACTACGGTGAGAAGTACAGCGTTTATGATGTGAGGAAGTACCTGGACACCTGCAAGCTGCGCCGCAATAACCAATGGAGAGGAGCTGGCATTCGAGTCTCCGATCGTCAGCCGGGGTTCGTCATAAGGTACCAGGATGCCGATGAAGAAAATAGTGAAGACGAAGAGGAGGAAGATGCTCCAGAAGGTGTTACGGATTGCCCTTGGCATGGTTTTGCGTGGATTGGCGCTTTCTCCGGCACCAATGGCTACCAACTCAGTGCCTTGGAAAGCGAACCCGGCTTGAATCAAGACGGCCCAGAAGCCAACGAACTTTGCCTTGGCTCCATCGGTCAAATAGGGGGCGAACGCTCCAGGACTCTTCCAGTAATGGAACCCGAGATAACCCTGGTCCCCGGCTCCTGCGTTGATACAGATACCAAAGATCATGAACCCCAAGAGAGCAATGACTTTGATACTGGCAAACCAGAATTCGAATTCACCAAAGAGGTCCACTGGCAGGTAATTGACGAGAGTGAGAGGTACCCAGAAGATGGTGATGAAGATGCCGATGCTCAACGAGCTGTTCCACCATTGTATGATGATGCCAGCAACCGTCAGTTCCAGCGCATACGTAATGGACCAGCTGATGAAGTAGATCCATCCCATGGAAAAGGCCAAGCTAGGATCCACGAAGCGACCAGCATAACGCGTGAAAGCACCCGAGATTGGGAAAAACGTTGCCATTTCGCTGAGAGACAGCATGACGGAGTAAACGAGGGTCCCAATGAAGACATAGGCAAGCAAAGCACCGACGGGCCCCGCGGTCGCGACAGAGGTTCCACTGGCAATGAAGATGCCCGTGCCGATGGTTCCGCCTGATCACAGTTAACAAAAAAGCTTCGTTCATTGGAGCCACGGTACAAGCGAACCTATTGCGACAAATTGTAGATGTCGACTACCTAGCTTCCGGTGGAGCTGAGCGTCCTCAGGGGCTGTTTGTTTCTCGATGTCGCGGGTTGACTGGGGCAGCGACTTCTGCGAGATGCGGTCCCCAGCTACGGCGGGAAGGTCGTCCTGAGGACCATATTTGGTGGTCTTGTCCTCCATACCAGGGGCGCGGGACCTCAACGGGCGGGATTGCTGAAGGTGTTGGTGCAGTTTGGACCTCGAGGAGACAACAATGGAGCCTCTGTCTTTATTTGAGCAAAGAGATCTGGAAAATAATTATCACAGCGCACAGTCCTCGGCAGAGTCCTGGATCCCCTTGCTCTGGGGGCTCCGAAGATCATTTCCATGGAATAAAATTTTCATGATGGTTCCACCAGACTCGTCCCATCCAACCGCGGCGGTGGTTACCCTAAGGGTAGCATCGGTCTCCAGAGGATACCTCGGCGTCCATCGGCGATACACCAATGAGGCATCATTGCAAGCGCTTGATAAGCGGCGGAAGGAAAAACCTTGGACCAAGTTTGGGAGTTGAATTGTGCCTTGGTGGCAATGGTTCCCAACGGGTAAAATTCGGATATAGATAAACGGAGCAAGCAGGCTCTTGGCATCTCACTGGAGACTTCCTCTTCGAGTCTCTCGACCACCACCACCACCACCGCCACCATACTGTAGTGCATACTAGGTTGAACACCCTCCATAGTGCTTGAGTCTTGTGCGTGGCCACACATCCCGTCGTTTCGATAGTGACCTTTATCGGTTCCGGATACGGCCTCCAGGGAGGAGCTCGAGGTTCCCGCTAGGATCACCCTCGCCACAAATAAAAAATCAGTCCCTCCTTTCATCAACGGCGATGTACGTTACCGGCTAGATTGATTTGCGCGGGCCGGAACGAGACGAGGCTAGACCGGCCAATCAAGACTGCATATGTACTCGGTAACCCCTTTCTAGAAGCCGTCACCTCTAAAATGGCAAGCGTTATTTGGGGTGCCAATAACTAATATTCAGGGTGCCAATAAGGCACTGTTTTCGCGCAGTCAGTACACACCCAAAAACGTTCGAAATTTAAGGTCTTAGGAGGGCTCCCTTGTATTTCGAAGCTGCTCTCTTAAACGGTAGCAAAATTGCAGCAGGTTGTCTTATTAAAAATTAGGCAAACAGGGCTTAGAAAGTAAGGAAGTTGGGGAATTTTACGGTGTTCTGCTAAGAGCAGAGGGGTGAGCTAATAAGCAGGCGTCTTACAGGCCTTTGTCAGCCGGCGAAAGGCTTATTGGCACCCTGAATAACGCTTGCCCTCTAAAATCCATTGCAAAGCACCGAATATGTGGCTTTGTCGTAAACAGGTTGCTTGCCAGCCGCATGGCGTCGATTGATCTGGTTGATATGTCAGATGTGCTTCCAGCCTGTCCTGTATCTTCCCTCGAAGACAAGGCATAGTGAATTCGTAGTTGTTGATAGGACTAGATTCGGCTAGATTGCGTGGCATCAGCGCGGTGCGAGTCTAACTCTGAGTCAAGGTGTCGTTAAGTAAAAGTGAGGGAAGATCGTTAGCGTCTTGTTGTGTCACTGAGGTCGAAATAAGCTCCACAAAGGTTTTAAGTGTGTGTCACCAATAATTGCTTAGATTCTTTATCCCGTCATGCAACCAATGAAATTGCTTTTATACTCGTCTGCCTCTCTTGCACTCCCTTAACACATTGGTTTCTTTTAGATTACTTTCTCTCGGAATTCGACGAGGTGCTGTCCACGTCCGTCTCAAGCATACTTTATATTCAGGGCCTTAGTTTGGGATACTGGCCCCCAAGTATCCCATTTCCGCGGCAATGTTTCACCCATATTTTATAAAGACACAAAAATAGAGCATTTTAACCGTCCACCATGTGTAAGGCAGGCAGTACGCCATCCAGTCAAAGAGCCCTTCCGCTAGTCGATATTCGCCAGCAGAGAAGAATGACGGATCTCGCAATTGCAAGTCTAGTAACAGTAAAGTCATTCTCCTCGAAAGCCGACCTTCACATCGTTAGGAAGATATTTCCAATCCTCGGGTCACAGGCGTAACGATCCTCGCATATACCTAGTGACTGACCGTGTCGGTCTCAATCAGTTGGTGGATTTGCAGAAGTACATAGATATTTCCATCTCTTTCCGGCATTTATGAACTTGCATCCAAAGCTCGGATACGGTCGCCTCCGCTCTGCGCATTATCGTCAACCTCTCAAAAATAGGTATCCCCTCAGGAAGATTAGATTCAAAGATCCCTGGTACCCTGAACATGTAGCTCTTCCGTTGCCTCAGGTTGGGCATGGCCTGGAGACTGGGAGCGCTCGGCGCCCCCCAGGCACTTACCCCACAGAATGCTCCCAGATTAGGCCGCGCCGCGCCGCTACCTTCCCAGACGGTGGTTCAAAGCGCTTTCATATTAGTATAAATGCTACGTTTCCCACACGGATGCCTAGTATTTCGACCAGCGACATGCCGTGTTGACACCCATCCGGCATACCTAGGTACACCCAGGGATGATGTGCAGGAGCTAAACCGAGCGACTTAGAAATAATGATTTTCCTTTTACGTTAGATAGGGGTAGGAACTAAGAATTGGCGAATAAGGAGATGTCTGCGGCTCAGAACTCGTACAACCAAAAGCACCTTCTTCATTGTCCGTCGCTGCAACGCCGGCTAACCGAGCTCTTAGCGAGACTTTCCTTCCACTCGTCTCTCAGCTGGTCAATGACGGTATCAAACTGCCAGTGGCATTGTTCGACACGCTGCCTACCACTTTTGGCGCCCCTGGTTCACCTTCTAATATTTTTGATGTACTTGTGTGCGTCCCGTCAGTCATTGACTAAACCTATTTTGTGGTTAATTCTATATTTACAATTAAGAGGGAGTTGGAAGTGTTTCCGGTTGAGGAACAGTCCCTGTTCGTCATAGATTTCATTATTCGTCACCAGCGGGGTGGCACCCCCTCTACTCCACTCGCTGGCTTCACGTGGTAAAACCTATGACTACTACCCTATCCACCCTCGCCTTTATTGAAACTAAGACTTTTTGAGCCAGCTCACATTCGTACCTAGTCTGACGATAATCGCCACCATTGGTTGTAGGCTCGGCATGATGTTCGGCGGTACTATGCACATGTATTTGGCCAGCAGATACCCTATAGGGTACCGCTATATAAAAAACCCACCGGACTAGTTCCATGATGTTCAAGTAGCCCCATCTACGCGCAGTAGCAAATGAGCTATTCACCAGTGTCCGGCGCCGCTTTGAACTCACACCACCAACTCCGATGGTTGATGCCATTTCAGATGGACTTCAAAGCTTGTAGGAACTATCTGCAATAGTATTGCACGCAGTGCTGGCATGTTTTGGTCATCGGTAGTTGATGATGGCCGCCTAGCTCTCAAAATCGCTGGTCTTTGGGTTGGACGTCATTAAAGTCACAAGTCAGCGACTTTGTGATGACAATTCCGTCACCGAAAACATCTGACGTTCCGCTCCACGCTAAGCGCAGAAAACATCTGACAGTGGAATAACGGGAACAACGAGTAACCAAATACAGAAGAATATTTTGATAGTGGTCAAAACGATGTCTGTGCACTGTTGAATTTTCCCAGCCCAAACAGACCGAATATCAACTTGTTGCCGAGTGCAGCGGAAGAAAGTTCACGATGGGGAAAGCTCAGTCACTGTGACCTCACTCCGCGAAATCACATCTGATTTCTGTTTAGCGCTACCCCAGCCACGGCGGTCATAAGTACGTTGCCCGCACGCTTCCCACTCCGATTCTTCCTACATCTCTCATCATCCCTCGACGACCTTCATCAACACTGCAACCGTAGACTGCGACACGGTCTATATCATCTATCCCACCCACACAGAGCGCAACCTTACGAGCACAGCCGCCGTGTTCGATATCCCCATCGCCATGGCTCGCACTATCCTTCGCTACCCAGGAAATCTGAAGTTCTGGCGTTTCAAATTCTCCAACATCACCCCTATCAGCAAGAAGCATAATCAACCAAAGAATAAGGAGAAAGCACCCGGACACCCTCCCGAGCAGCTTCGCAGTGCTCCGGTTCCCGAAAACCAAGCATCTAACTCTAGAATCAGCTTGGTAACCACATCGACTGAGTTTACAGACTTGACTGCTGGAGAATCAACCTCTGCACGCAGTCTCTCTCTTCGACAGGAGATGCGGAACGAGGAACGCAATCCAACTTCCGCCCATCTCGACCGGGGCCTGATCAAAATACCAGAAATACCGGAATCTGCGCTTGGCCTCGACTTCGAACAAGGGACACTGGGTTCATGGGCTGTTCTCCATCCAAAGCCAGATCCAAGGACGACTCTACACTCTCCATCCCAGCTACATCTAGATTCAAGCACAAGGGAAACATCTGCGCAAACTCAGAACAGTGCGCCAGAGGCGTCTCGACCCTCTTCACAGGGTCCCACCAGCGCAGCCACACATACCACGCCCAAACCTCGCAGACCTAAGACTCTGCACCGCATCTACTCCCGGTACGGCGTCTCTCTCTACCAACCAGCGGGTCCTTCCGGCAGCCGTCCAGGCCGGCACGACCACCCTGGCGCCAGGAGCAATCCCAACATTGCCGAGCCAGACGTCAAGCCATATATCTACTCACCATCGCCCCCATCCCAACCATCGCCAGCGCTCCGCCGCTCCAACGCAGTCAGATACCCGACATTGCGTGCTCAATATGATGGAGCCAGGTCAGCCACAGTTTCGGACCCTTCGGATGAGGAGGATACCATGGACATGGACTTAGCTGGTCTGAGGTGGGTGCGAATGTACTACATGTCCAGTGGGGAGGATGAGAACGAGCGTCGCGGCAGTATTCTTGAGTAAGATTTGTCGATCTCAGGGCATATGAGCAGGAGCGTGTACATGAGCGCGTACAAAGATGGATTTGTCGCTGGAAAATTGCTTAGGTGATTGAGAAATGGTTGTTCTGATACGGGACTAAATTGTTGAATCTTGGGGGAATGACGCGCTGTTCACAGACCGTTGTTTTCTGCTTACTTAGAGAGATTTAGAGTCAAGACTGTGTCATTAGATGCAACGGCACCCGTCTAAGCGTACATACTATACACAAAAATCTATGCATTAATATCATCCTTCTGTTCCTTCTATTGATCCCGAACTTCTACGCTCTTCAAAGTGGAATCAACAGTCCTTTCCCTCAAAACACGATTTCTAGCCAAGAGCTGCGAGATGATAAAGTGCGACACGTCTTCATCGGCCCAGTAGGACAAGTGGCTTGCTATACTAGCCAAGAGCGAAATGTCAAACGCCTGGGTATAACAGTCAGTGTTCGCTCACCCATAGAGAAGTGTGACAGAGAACGGGACTTGTAACTCACCCCTTCCTGAATGCTATAATCCACCCTCCCATTTGCATTCAGCGCCCTGACTTTCGCCTCCTCTTTCCGCAGCTTGCGACTCTTCTCTTCAAGCTCACGCCACTCGTCGTCTTTATCTGTATCGTGCTCCCCGCCGGCCCCGGTGGGTTGTTGACTGCTACGCCGTTTTTGGAACCCGGCATACAAAGTCTCCATCTCTGAGTCAATCAAGGTGGCGGGGTGCTCGCCGTCCGACCTCGGGACTACAGTTGCGTCGTCACCAGCTAGCCTTTTCTTCCGCTCTTCGTTGACAAAGGCACGGGCGGGATCATCCGATCCTGCACCAGTTCCGGGGGTGATGGATAGTGGTCGTGAGGAACGTTGGCCGTGCGTAAGGTCTGATTGCATCTTAGTCGCATCGGCGCCTGTGAGCCCCAAACTACGATTTAAAAGCCCACTGGCGATGCCCGAACTGACTGACGTCCAGAAATCTGTCACGCCTTGGCCGACTCTGGCGCCGATGCCTGTGAGGCCTTGAGCTCCAGACGCACTAAAAAGTCCTTTCTTGGTGTACGGAAGCGGCTGAGGCTTAAGAGCTGACATGGCCGGTGAAATGAGAGGTTCGAGGCGGTAGCTGATTGGATCGGTGGGGTGGAAGATGTTGAAAAGTTGGCGACATGCTGGGGAGGAGGTGGTAATTTCAAATGCGTGTTCGCATTTCGACTTGGAAGTGGGCGAGAATGGATCATCGAGGGGACTCTGTGGGGTTTCAGGGGGTACGAAAGGGGTGTTAGAAGGGCGCGCAGCAATAGTGCGACCCTTCAACATCTGGAAAAGACCAATTGGAGAGCCAAGAGCATAGAAGTCCTCCACTTCGAAATCCAACTGAAGATTCTCATCAGTGGGTCGTTTGCCTGGCTGTATTTGCGATTGAGCGCCTGCCGTCTTTTGTTGGCACAGAATGTCGAACATGATCGCCGAACCGAGCGAATGCCCAACGAGGCTGACTTTCCCCTTGAAAGTGGGATTCCGCTGCTTAAAGAGCCTATATATGCGATTGCATTCGGTGAGTACGATGCGTGATATATGACCTTTGTACGCTGGACTTTGATAAAGAAGGATATCCAAGGCAAGATCCGTCAACAGATTGCGAACAGCTGGCACTCCTTCAACAGTTATGTCTTCCAGATTGGGATAGTCTTCATCGTCGTGATCTAAATCGCCCAGATCGTGCTCTTTACGATTGTGTTTGAGGGACTGTTTTGGAAAATCTAGGAGATGTCGCCATACAATCGGGAGAACCTGGATTCGGTTGTTCTTGAGGTCCTGATCAACTTCTGAATTCAAAGCCTGCAGGTCAGGCGAGTTTGAATATGTTGACTTGAGAGACTTCCGGAAAGAGTTGACATCATGAATGAAGTTGACACTCTCCATGCGGATACCCAGGCGCTGGCCAATCCCATGCGTAACCAACAGAAGGTGTTCGATTTCTCGGCCTTGCTCCGCCTTGCTCTGGTCCTTGTAGTCTTCACGCATTTCTTGCTCGTCCCGCCTCCGAATCTCCTCCTCCTGCTGCTCTGAATCCTCCCTCGTCTGCGAGGATATCATCAAAGACGACACGTGTCTTTCTAGAGTACGCCTTCGAGTCTCGGCCGGCGTCTCTTCATGCTCGGCTTCTGCTTCCAATACTGCCTCTGAAGAAGCTGGAGTGGGCCTCTTATTTGGACCATCTCCATATGCCAAAGGAGAATTATCCGGCGGGTGAGTCTCCTGCTTCGCCCTCTCATCTTTGGCTTTCGACTTTTTAGTGGCAGGATCCACGTAACCACGGATGTATTTCGCTCCATAATGCGCGCCTCCTGCGAATCTTTGATAGAGTGTACTACCCATCCGCGAGAGGAAATCGTCGGTGAGCAACCAAGCCGTGGTATCGTCCTGATAAGTAACCACTGAGTTCATATACGCCCCAAACAGACGGTGGGTTCTTGAACCTTCCTCTGAAGTTGGACTCTGGTTATGTGCGCTCGCGCCCTCATCTACCTTACTTTTTTCGGCCTCGCCTCTTAGGTTATCCATAGAGGATTGCGGTGTAACAGGATTCGATGTTGATTGTCGGTCGCTCAGCAACTTTCGGTAGTCCTCATCAGGCTTTACATTCAATGAGACGGGTCGTGTACGCGGCTGTGAAGAAGAAGTTTGTTCCGATGATTTCGCGAAGCGCCAGGGCTTGAGCTTCAAGTAACCTTCCTCCAACTGATGCGCCAGATTCTCGTCGCAAGGGTCTCCATCGGGTGTGAACCAGGTCCCTCTCTTCACATCATATACCGGCCCCATCCAGTAGGCAGGGGCTAGCTCTCGGGTCTCTATCTCGACATCGAACAAATAGTCCTCGTTGACAGGCACCTTCGTACTCGTTTGCTTGGGCGGCTCATCCCTTTGGGCAGCTTTCGCAGCGGTCGCAAGAGCGCCATCCTTTTCCTCTGAGGCTTCTTCCTCATCAGCTAGTTTTTGAAACGCCTTCTCGATGGCTCGAGAGTCGCTGGCAGAGAAAGGTATAAACTTCTTAGGGCGGGGCGCGGGTTTGTCAGAGGGCTGAGTAGTCGAAGCAAACGGTTTCCGTTTCGGGATCTTGAGAAGATGTCTCTCAGCATACTACATAGAAACGATGTGTTCAAGGACATGATCACTCACATCCACCGCATGGAACCAACGCACGACAAGGGGAGGGCAGTCGCTCGGGTATTTCTTCGGGCTTATTCGGTGCCTTTTCACTATGTGATCGCCACCACGCTGAGCTCCCGTGCCTGTTCCAGGTACTTTGTCCTCGTCATGTTTCGGTGGTTGCGATGGCTTTGGCGTTGCGCTTCTAGAGCTCCAGGGAGATAGGGCGGTTATTCCGGCGGACAGAAAGCCAGGTTTCGTTTCAGGTGTAGACATATTCTGTTGGGATGGCGCGCTGTGCGAAGGTTCCCTCAACGAGCCTTTGGGGAGCCGGATCTGGTCCCGGAGGAGGGGAAGAATACGGGAGCGAAGACGGGACAGATTGGCGGTCTAGTTTCGAAGTGAGCCCGGATGCATATACACATACGAAGCGAGAGAATATAGGTTCCACAAGCTAGGAAACTAGGTGTCGACGCGTTCGAGGAGGGCGACGCGAAGTGATGGGCATGCATGTGAATGTTGAATGTGTCCACGCGGAAGACGTCACTGATCCCCAGACTGAGCTATACCACAAACGGAATGGCGTTGAAACCGGGGCTTGCTTACCTACCTAGGTACCGTTCGACCTCTCGACCACCATCCATCCCATCTCAACTGTAGGAGGCATTATTAAACAGTGGAATATAGGCACTGCTAATGACTTGGTAACTGTAAGCCGTCTAGGACTCTCTGGATCTTATAAACGGAGCTCGCCCTCTTCCTCTCCATTTTCATACTGCTATGCATATGTTTAACGACGGAGCTCTCCAGCCGAATATAGCTGATCTTATCTTTTCCTCAAAATCTGCCAATTATCGTTAACTTTCCCCTCTCACTAGTATACTACCGCCTTGGAGGCAGAAATGTTATATCCATATCCTGTTCCGATCAGTTAAACTACTCCTTCCCCGCAACGCGGGAAGATTAGGCAAGTAAAAGGGTTCCATAAACGTGAGACGCTGTAATTTATCATTTACAGTGATAATACAATTGATCAATGACCTACCGAAGAAGTTGAGGGAGTTCCTTCGCTGCTAAGTGCGCCACGTACATTGTAAAAGGCGTGACTGCGCTTACCAGTGTCTGCCAGCTGTTTGACCTCACCCTCAGCTCCCGTGGTCCTAAGTGCCTCATCTTCTCCTGGCCGGCTTTTCCGCCTTTTCACTTCTCCATCTGTCAAGCTCTCATACTCCCACTCTGTTCTTCTTCTGTCTTCCTCTCCTTCGTCTTGCCCTTGTGCTCCATTTTGCACTTGCGAATCATCAGTTCCTTACGCGGTTCCTTCACCATTTCCTGCTCGACGAGCCGAGGAGGCTTTCCAGCTACCAATTTGCATCCCATCATGTCCCGTCTTACTGCCTTCTCCCTCCTTTCTTCCGGATAGGATATGTTTTTGTCGTAGGTCGAGCACCGAATTTAGGGTCAACCTGAGAAAGAATCACCAACTCACCCTTCCCCCGCGGATCGCAGCTCTAACTCCTCATTGCCCCTCATCTTTCTCTTCCTCCTCTTCACCCTCAAGCCACTTATCGACTTGAACAACTCCTTTCCATTATATATCCATGCCATCTCAGTCCTCTCATGCGCGGTGACCACTTTGCCATTGCTGTGCTCTACCCGCACCTGCGTAAAGAAATCCAAAGATGGAAAGAGCGTCGGCTCTGCGTCGAATCGTATCAACTCCAGAAGACTGCCAACTAGAAGCGCCGAAAGGCAGATCAGCAGTGTCACTCCGCTCACAACCATATACGCTATCAACGTGCCGCGCCCCACATGAATCTTGTACTGAGTTTCCGCCAATGCAACCGTGGCCCCTTTTGGATCCACTCTCTCAAACGCACCAGTTCTGTAATTATCCGAGCGATTGAGAGTGGCGGTTGTATTGCCGGCCAGGACTGCGTTGCTGAGAACGCCATTCTGGCAGAAGAAGAGGGTGATGGCGAGGAGGCATTGCAATGCATTGACACCTTTCAGGCGCGCTTCGTCCTGTACGGTCATGACTTTGCTCATGCGATAAAACTGGGCTGCGACGAGCCGGCCGAAGAAGTGAGTCGCATGGCCAAGTATTGGGTTCGCGCTGCTGCGGTTCCCCCGATTTGGGTCCGTGGTGTTTAGCAATAAGGGCAGGGCAGACCAGACGGCGCTGGCCGTGACGTTGGCTGGGACTGGTTCCGACTCGATCTCATGGGAGAGGATGGCGCCAGAGATGCGGTCGTAAGATATCGTCGCTTGGAAGAACGATGGTTTAAGGGCTGTCGAGAACCCGGGATCTGACTGCCAGTGGGTTGACTCTCGACATCCCCCTCGCTGGACAAGGTCGGCAGGGCAGGTAACGGCAGAAGCATGCAGCCAGCCGTCTTCAGCATCAGTTACACAGAGACGATATTCTGTAGGTCCTGCCAGGAAGAACCTGCACGTGGGCGGACTGCTGGTAACGTTGATGTTGTCTCGATACTCGAGGTGGTACACTTGTTGGTGTTGTGAGAGTATAGCCGTTCGCCCGCCCGTTGACGATAAAGGCAAACCCGCGTAAACGTTCTGCAGCTCCTGCGCAACTAAAATCCGACGTACGCAACTATTTTTCCTCGTTATGCCCATGCCTTTGATACAGCCGGAAACCTCCTCAAGCTCGGGCGCGAGATTGACGGCATGTAGAGGATTGGTGAGAAAAGTAACATAGTCGATATTGAATAGTAGATCTTGTATCACCCCGAGTTGTGAGGCTACGGTGCTGTTGAATGGCTCCATACCAATCGCGAACGGACGAATAGTTTCTGGTTCTGGTACGTACAAGGTTCTTACATTCACGACACCTGGTCGCATTAGCACATGATCATTTTCATGCGAAATGAAACATACTCATAACCAGCACTCCCACCACTGGCACGGTCAGTTCAGCAAGCAAACGAATAAGCGACAGCATTCGTGGCTTCAAGGGCCATTGCTCAGGCGGTAAACCATGTCCAGAAGCAAGTAGTATAAGCCCCAAGGGTCCAGTACTTGACTGCAAAGCGAGAAAGTCTGGTAGGCGCATGCCGTCCGGATGCGAGATAAGCACCCATTGCACAACATCAAAAGTCGCATGTATAGTGGAGGCTAGGAAAAGTGCGGCGGCTTCGGACAGGATTCTCAGAATCAAGATCGTATTTGATCGAGAGTAGCGTACGAACTCGAGTTGCGAAATCTTCGATCTACCTGCGGCATACAGGACTGTTAAGGCAAAGAATGACACTGCTAAGAATGCAGATGTCCATGCCAAAATGGTCTGCCTAGCCAGTCCCAAGTATCGCCCATCCTTGAATGGTATCCAAGTCGGTAGCCATGCAGGTCGCTGACGCTTGGGTCGAGGCATGAAAATATACCAAATAACCCAGGGGGACAACAAGAACGGAAGCCAAACCGAAGAACGCGAAAGCGAGAAGCCATCGCACTATAAACCAGTCCGTGTAGACAGCAAGGGGGGAGGGATCAAGTAAATTGAGGCTGGACCCCGAGCACAAGCACGACAATTCCAAAAATAGGTAGAGTTTCAGGCAACCACTAACGCGGAATTGCGGTTTAGCTAGGGCTCGATTGGGAAGGAGAGACGGGGGATAAGCACTTGTATATTCTAGGGGCACCCTCAAAGATATATCAAATATAATCCTCTACTGTATACTATCTATGTAAAAGTCTTTCAAAGTTACAATAGATTTGTAGTTCTGAAAGTCCATGGCGTCGCCGGCTTCGTTTCCCACGTCGTCTGCTCAATTGCAGTGTGAATAAGGCCTGGAAGGTAAAATATGCCTCAGACGACACCAAGATGCGTTGACATGCCAGAGGGCAGAGTTCGGTGAGGGTGTGTCGGAGTCTCTTCAAAAGCGTGGTGCGCGTCGGACGCATGTCTCTCTGCAGCCGCTCGTGTTTTCTCAATGCTGACCCTAATGGACCCCGACGGCATCGGCATGTTCAGCGAACCAGATAGATCAGAATATTACAGCGTAGAATGCACTTTCTTTCCGCAACAAAGTCGAGGACTTGTAGGTACCCACGTGCAGATCCTCCAAGGCTTCGGTTCGGAAGATGGAAGAATCCTAGGCTTGTCACGTGACCTGATCATCCGCGGTGAATTGCGGGAATTCCTGTAATATGTGTTCAGTAATACAACCAATCGAAGCTCACGTGAAACCCTCCTAATGTGGGCATTGTTGGTGGTCGGTATCCAGGTGAACTCATGCTCCTCCGCCATACCCCCTGTGGTACCCTACCCTTAGTTTCTCTAAGGGCATACAAGCAACACCCTGCCGTGTACATTACATCTGACAATCATGCCTCGACCCGCTGCATTTTCGCTTGTCCTGCAGATGCAGATTCTAGGGTCATATTCGTGCACATTCTCTTGGGATGAGTGCCAGCTAGAGTCCCTGCTCAGGGGTTAGTAGGCATATGAGAAACAGCCAAAGTACCCTAGGTACAGGGCATGCAATACAGGTGTGAATTAAATCTAACAAAAGCACTTCGCGGCCGATATGTAACATGTCAGTCGTCTGTAGGCCGCCAGCTACGATGTCTAGCTAACCGGGTGTCTAGATCTACCCGTCATAGAATGTTCGCTTGCAATAGTATGTTGTCTCAGCAAAAGCGGATGCTCTTCCCCTTCTCTTCAGCCTGTGTCCGCGCTCTTCTTCTCAACACACGATATACCAACGGCAACTCATCTGACAAATCGCCTTTACACACACTTACCCCTCCCCCTCCCCCGACCAATAGACATACCCTCAAGGAGGCAGTGAAGGGTGGAGACGATAAAGTTCATAATGGCACTGTATGGTACTTATTAGGGTACGATCTGGATCGTACTGGCGCACAGTTCACCAACCTAAGCAAGGCCGTGCATACGAAATCGGTTTCGAATATTTCGAATCGGCTATGTGAACTAAGATAAGCTGACTCGTGGCGTCGACGCCGATGCGCCATCTTCTCAAGGGAAAAATCGAAGGGAAGTATCTGGCACGTTGATGGTTGACTGCATGTGTGAATGACATGCAGCTGTACGGTTCTCATTTGCAAAGAAGGGAGGTCTGGAGAGCGGTCTCAGGATCAGCTTGATATGAACGGTGAGGCGAAGCATCGCTTCGGCCTTGTCAAAAGCATAGCTGACGGTCTGTGCATTCACCAACAGGCCCAGGCGAAGCTTACCAAGGATTGCTCGCCCGCGTCGCCGAGGCAGGCTAAAAGCAGCCACCTTTTTGTATAAGACTCTGATTGGGCCATAAATCAAAAACAGGATCTCGTCCTTCAGCCGTACGTTCAGCTGCAGGTCAACGTCAATGGCCGGTATGTTGGTGTGGCTGAGGTGAAGATTGCTGTCGTCTATAAGACGGGCTTTGCGCGCAGAAACACCTACCGTAGTACAATCCTCACTCCATCACTTACACAAAGAAACTCATCCTCCTCTGTGCGTCTTTTAGCTACACAGATCACTTCGGCACTGTGTCGCAAATCGAGCAATCCCATACAACCACCCAACATACAACGCCCCGCAAAACAAGCCTCGGTATCCCACCATCATAAACAAAACCGCACTTTTCGCGTCATGAAGCACTTCGCCATCACACTCGTCCTAGCGACCCTCGCTCTCGCCAGTCCCGCACCCATCGCCGAACCCGAAGCGGCACCCGCAGCAGCTCCGGTTGCACAACCCGAAGCCCAACGCATCACTCCAGAAGCAGCGATTGTGCTAGAGCCCCGCGTCCCCAAAAAGAAGAAGGGCCACGGCGGAGGCTCCGAAGAAGGCAACGGCACCGATTCGAGCGCTGCTAGCATGTTCTCTGCGAGTCGCGCGGTGCAGCTGGGAGCAGTTGGCTTGGGGGTTGTTGAAGTTGTCAGATTGTGGGGTTAGGAGATGTGACGGTCGGACCGAAGCGGAGCTGTTTTGTTGGCATCGCCTCGCGGACAGCTGGGAATTAAGGTCGCTAATGGTGACGGTTATATACCGAGAATAAGTCAATGAATTACGAGGCTTTTGTGCAAGGCGGGAACGCAAAGTTCCTTTTATAAAGGGCGAATGTGTACGAGCCGACTGGATTTTCTCCTCACATTAAGAATATTGTTTACATATGTTTACAAACTTCCATTGTTATAGACTAGCATTAGAGTTAAATGCAATAAGTGTTAATAAGTTATTAAGGTTCTTAGAGGCAGCTATAGACTACATGCAGAGTTTTATAGGAATAGCTTAGCATCTACTTTAGGCCTAGACTTCTGCTATATACTCAGCTTAAAGCTTAGGCTTAGTGTCACGAACTATGACCGGAAGGGCCTATCATGGTCCTTGGCTCAGTGTTCTAGTTCAACCGTAAGCGGTCTAGTCGGTGGAACTTTGCATTAAGGCAGTGATGTGAGAATAGACATACGCAGAGCATAGTTGCTATATGGCACCGTGGTAATACTCCAATAGGATCTTGTATGGCAATCACGGAGAGGGTTGTTTCGTTGTCGTGTTTTATGCCGAAGTTTAATAAAGTTTGTTTAGAACTACACATCTGCTGCGAAGCTCAGCCCAATATCAACAAGCGCTAGCATCACCACTGGTGTCAATGTGCAGCTCAAATAAGTATTGTCAAACCGCATCTATACGTTCATATGCGGTGACTTGGGACAGAGGCGGGCAGGTCAATCTTTCTGTGTACCATGAGTGTACCTTCAAACGGAAAAGACATGCCAATTTTCCTGAGTTTCTGACACCTTACAATGAGTTTACAGGAGCGAACAGCTTTCGGGGTTTCACTTTGGATGACAGATCGTAATTTGGTATTCAACCTGGCGATAATGCATCTACTTTTTGTAGCCTGTACCATATCCTGTGTACATAGATCTTTCGCCCGTGGCCTTGTCGGTAATTGTGTGGCTTTTTGTTAGGAGATAAAGCTGCAAAGACAAACTTCGCGATGCGGAGACTCATACCTCACTTAGGCGAGACGCACCATACAGGAGAGGGTGAAAGGATAAGTTTCGTCTGGGCCAACGTAGTCGCTTTTACACGGACCAATTAAATGTAACACAGTAGATAAATTTTGCAGAATCAAACGTCAATGAGTTGTCATATTCTATGCTATCCCTTCAAGTTCATCGCCTTTCACCCACTCTGTCTCAAATAAGCAGCCACAACAGCCACATCAGACCCATCTTTCCTAAATCCCTGATTATCTGCTCTCTTCGCCACGGGCACATATTCACTTCCTCCTGGTGCTCTCTCAACAACGACATTGGCATTGTTGATAGCGGCAATACCGTAAGAAAATAACTTTGAGTTTCTCACGTAGAAAACGGCATTGGTCTGGCAATCTCCATTGCAGGCTGTTTGATTTGAGCCCTCTGCGAAGGTCCAGTAGCCTCCAGAGTAGAGATTGATATTGGTGCTGTTTACCACGCTTTGGTAGATAGACATGCGGCACTGAAGTCAGAAGGTCAGTAATGAGTCTTTCCCTCATTTTCAAAAGTTACTGTCTGTGGAACCGGGGAGAATTCGACGCCGAATGGGTTTTAAGGGGAGAAATAACTCACTGATGCATCATTCGCCGCACACCACGCAAAACTCGGCTCGCCCGCCAACAACTCCGACTCCCACGGCCGCGGCGCCAACAACGAATTGCCCACCCCTTGATAGAGCGAAGCCTCGCCCTGCTGGATCCCCACAAACACATTCGCCGCATTTACAATGTTAACCTGATATAAAGCAAAATGCTCCACGCCCCACCCCAACATCCACGTCCCCTTCTGCGCCTCAATGAGGAACCCGCCCGCCGGGGAGGGGTATGCGGCAAATCCGTCCCAGCCATCTAAATCGTGATCCGCCGTCCAAGCCCAGGAATTCTCCCAGTAAGAAGACGACGAGGAAGTGAGATGCGCGGCTATGTGCACGGCTCGACACTCCTCTACCGTCGGGCATTCATTTGCCTTGTTGTCGAGCGCGCCTCCGAGCCGGATATGCGTATTGAAGAAGCCTACGTCTCCCGGTTTGGCGCCTGCCATGTTCACCTCGACGAGGACCGCGCCGGGCAGGATATCTCGAGCAGTGAACACGAAGTCGGTGAATTGTGCGACGCCAGTGTCGCCCGGGCGGCCGACTTGAATCACTGGTTTGGACTTTCGCGGGTCCTGGAAGAGAGGACCTGCGCCGCTGAGTTCGGTAAAGGATTCTCCCCAGAGACGGCTGTTGGGTGGGATATGAAGGGTGTCTTTTAGTATGTAAGTTCCGTGGGGGAAATAGGCTACCTTTCCCGCCTTTGCAGCGTCGTTCAAGATGGCCTGCAGTGAAGCCGTGTCATCGGTTTCGCCATCGCCTTTTACTGGGTGGGCAGCGACGTCTCGCACGTTTACGATTTGTTCGAGGCTGAAGTCGGCATAGGCCGGTGGTTTCACGGTGTGGTAGAAGCCGGTGCCGTTGACGAGAGCAGAGGGACGCGAAGTGCTGATTTTCTGGCCGGTAAGCTTTTCTGGTTTGGAGGACGGCGAACGGCCAGTATAAATATTACCACGGATCCAGGTTGTGCCCGTCGCGATAGATCCTGTTAGTAGTGACGAATCTCCTGCCTTGACGGTCTGTCATCTGCTGTCAGTGACGAAGGTCATGAAATCGTGGCAACGTTCAACTTACGGAGGAAACGGTAGAGTCAACCAACACATTCTCCAGAACAATCGAGCCCACGGTACCAGACTGCTTCTCATCCGCCTTCACCAGAGTCTCCGTATTCGACGCCGTAGAATCAATCATATTCAACAGCCTCAACGTTCCACCGCTCATGTCCACGCCCGTCGTGACATCCTCAAACCGACAACCCTGAACCGTCATCTGCACCACATTGGCCGGCTTGATACCCGTCTCCACCCCCTTGAAGTAAACATTCTTAAAGTGATACTGCATACTCTCTCCCACATACCCGGCGCCTCCACCCCTAACCTCCAAATCATTCAACAGCAACGGCGAATTCTTCCCCACCGCCCTAATCCCCACATGCCCCTTCGCACCCTTGGGCATCTCAAGCCCGGAATTCGACAACTGACACCCCTGACTAACATTCCAATCCACGAGCGTGAGATTCGCACTCGCCGACACAGCCGTACTGTCAAACACCAAATTCTTCATCTCGGTGTAAAACCCTACAGGTCCATTCAAATACTTATCCGCGCCGGCTATCATCGTCGTCCCGCTGAAATCTTTACTCGCCTTCAGCCTCGGTCGGTCCGTGGGATCGCCCATCCACACCGTCCCTATCAAGTTCTGAATCGTACTGCTGACAACATACGTCCCTGGCGGGAAGTACACCACGGCAGGTTGTCCCGTGGTGCCCCACCATCCCGAGCCGCGCGCTGCGATGGAGTTGTCACCGATGGCGAGGGCTGTTCGGATGGCGATTGTGTCGTCGGTGACGCCGTCGCCCCGGGCGCCGTGGTCGCGTACGTTGCGGAAAACGACCCAGTTCTTGCTGAGGCCGGGGTTTATACCGTTATGGAGGACGTTGGCGTACCAGTATGTACTCGCTGCTGCTGCGGAGGCATTGGCGGGAGATTCGTTTGGGCGTGCGAAGATTGTGGTTGCGGCTAGGCCGAGAATGATGAGGAGGGTTCTCATTATGGGAATGCTGAGGAATGGATGAGTTTAGAAAGGAGTCGTCTTGTTCCCTGTATCCTTTTGTAAAAGTCCCTAAGGCAATCTTCCAGGCACATAATACCTTTAGTTGTCTCCGAACTTCTTACCGGTTTTCGATTTCCCGCATCGTCCCCCTCTTGACCGGATTAACCATCACCAGAGACGGCGCCTGGTGTAAAGCTTGGGAAGGTTAATTCCAAATTCCCTTTTTGAGCAAATTGCACACGGCCAAGTCCGTTGTCTTTTACCGATTAGCAGATGGCATATTGTGTAGGATTCCCAAGTTCCTTATTAGATTAAACAGGCCTGGGATAATGTAACTCTACCCGGGAAAAGCGCAGATGGCATAGTAACGTCCGCATGCATATTTGGTTTTTGGATACTATAGAGCCATTATTAGGTGCGGTAGTGTACAATTGGTCTGTCACGTCTGGAGGTGAGCGGGCGGGTTCTTAATATTCGCAGTGCAAGTCCGTTGTGGCAGTATCGCTCAATTGCTCTATCTCGCATTTTAAAGCGAGATGAATAGAGAATAGCACAGTTGAATCATATCCTGGACCGGACTCTTGCTCACGTACTCTATGCAGAATGGAGACGTCGCTGGTTTGTCGGTAATGCGCAGGAAATCCAGCCAGTGCCTGAAGTGGTGGAAGGGTGCACCGCGTATCTGATATGAAAGATCTGATACCACACCGGTTAACCTTAACGCATATCTAACCTGGATTGAAGCAATGATAAGCTCGGCATCCATAGAGCAAGCGGACAACCGTTGACTGGCATATCCCCAAAACGTCGAGAATCAGAACTTGGGAATAATGATTCCTCCACAGGAGCGCATATCCCACCCCGTCTGAAAACTCCCAAGACGCCTACACCCCTACCCTATGTTATATAAGAGCCCAAGATGAAACTCCGGTACAAACCATCCGATAACCCCAGGCCGAAGCCGAAGCGCAAAAAAAAAAAATAAAAAAAAATAAAAAAAATAAAAATAAAAATAAAAATAAAAAGACAGGAAATAAGAAGAGAATAGGAACAACGATCTATAGCAGTTCACCCTCGCCCTCATCCTCGACACTACCTTCCTCATCCCATTCTAGTTGGTCGGCCGCCTCGTCCGCCAATCTCTGCACCTCAGCCAAACCTGAGACCTCTTCCACCCATCCTTTCTCATTGAGTGCTCTCTTGACGAAGCCCCAAGGATCATCTTCATAGAGTTTGAGAATCTTAGGGCTGCATGCAGAGCAGCAGTCATAAGGCTTTCCTTCTACTTGGATGTTGGAGAAATTACTAAGGTACCCGCGTATTGTGTGCGGTACTGAACCCAGAGGATGCACAAAATGCGGTGGGAGTGATGGGTGCGAAGGGGAGGGTGGTGATGCGGCGGAGTTTGACGGCGTGACCGGAGAGCGCGCTTTGAGCGGATGTTGGAGGATGCTTACAAAAAGCTCGGTGAGGAGGCTGGATGCCAGAGGCGCGATGCCTGGGCGCGTCACTGTGCACTGCTGGTCCAGTGTCGCATCCTTCAGGGACTAGGGTTCTTAGCGGATCGTCTCGATGGTGGGATCAAACTTACATCTGCAGGGGCGACGACGTCGTTGCAGAAGTAACAGCCTAGTTCTTGTTCGCCTTCAGCTGTCGCCCTCAAACCATGCCGCATGACGACATAGGTGTCGAAGCCAAGTGCAGCATTTAGGACAATCTTGCCAGCCGCCTTGCCCATCACTGTTGGCAGCCATCTGCTTTCTCTCGTGTCCATGAGGAGGAATATGGCGTCGTGTTCATCGATCAGTTTATGCAGGTTTCTGAAATCCCCTTGTGTCTTCGCTTCGTCAGTAATGGGATGGCCCACCATAGGCACCTCCATCATGTGCCCTTCAGCTTCGATGCCCGGGTATATCTCTCGTAACGCTTCTGCCGCTCTCTCGGCCTTCTTTGCCCCGCCACTGGCACAATCCTTGAACGTAAAAAGAGGCTGCCGTACAGGGTTTGAGAAGCTGACTACCGCGTTGTCGACGAATGTAATCTTTCTGACTCCCCAGGCCATCAGCATTCGGGATAGATACGCACCAAGCGTCCCAGCTCCCAGAAGAAGGCACTTGCAATCCTTGACCACGTCTAGGTCGATATTCGGGGCTATCCGCCATTTGATGAGTTTCAAGTTGAGGTCGACGGCTTGATCGGCGAGCTTTCGGTCGTCCATGTATTCGGAAAGATCCACTGTACGTGAAGTAAGCTTGCCCGCATCGTTCCTTTCCCATCCGGTCACCTTCGGCATCTTCGGAGTGCGAGGTCGGGAGGCAGCCTCGCCCGCTTTGATCTCGGCTTGCGGCAGCGGATCAGATTGCACATGCATAATAATCGAATTTGACTGGTCGCGACGCAGATGCGTGTCTCTGTAACATAGAATTTGCACGTCGTTCAGTCGCCAACGATGCCGAATCAGGATGAGCAGGTTACGGAGCATCCAGCCAGGATTCTCTGGGTAGGTTGACGGGTCGGCGAAGCTCACAAACTGGTCCTCCTTTTCTACATCGTCGAAGAAACCCTTTTCAAACAACTCAAGCCGGCCTACCACCCATCTGTACCCGATCTCCTCGATTGGTGTTTTGGGACGCTCTTCACCATCTCCACCACGGACCCGCTTGGCGAGAAAGAAACCCCTCTGTCGAGCGTCGGAGCCGTAGCGCCAAGTTTGGACGGCGTCCACCAGATGTGTAGTTTCTTTGGTATCCAGGCGGCCCAAGTCGCCCACAAGTTTCCAAGCAGGGTCGGATTGAATAGCCGGGAAGCCGAAGTGATATGTGAACTTGTACTTCTTCAGGTTCGCAAAAGTAATCAGCGTAAATGACGAGAGCAGAGAGGGACATTCATATATGGAGCCATCATGTATTGCCTCCCATATCTGCATGGATATTAGCATAGACGTAGTAGCATGGGGACTTGGTAGGTTTACTGTACGCCCTGCTCTCTCTAAGATGGCAGTCCGATCCAGATTCTTGAAGTCTTCCATAGTATTACAGTTCTTAATGATACCCTCACCACGCAGGTAGTTTGTCGGGGTATCGTCCGAGGTCAGCGCATTTGGGTGGATCTGCATGCGACTGGATCGTGAAGGGTGGTCGGTGGGGCGCACTTCATAGAGACCCAGTACTTTGCGCGCCGAGTCATCTAGCTTGTCGTGATTGATTTTGATATATGCGAGGGCTGCGTGGAACTGAATATCGACGTCGCTCTGCCATGGAGCAAACTTCAGGGTCGCCATGTCTGAATGGAGGTGATGTCTGGTGGAGAGTGAAGTGTGGGGGTTTGCAGGGCTCGGGGAACGGGCGCGCGGTGTACACAGTAGTTACTCGTGAGGCGGCGGATGGGCGGCTTCGTGCGGAGTCATAGGATGTTCTCGGATCTTAGTGACTGTGCGGGCGTGATCATATTGAACTGGGGGGGTGAGCCATGTCTCAGATGGGGGAGCTCAAGGCAGCTGGGCCGGAGGTGTGAAGGATGGAGCTCGGTCCCCCGCGATTGATCTATCTGATGTAAGTGGTGGGGCAGTTCATGCCAAGCCACGGACGCGGAAAGAGACGCGACGGACTTTAACAAAACGCGATTCTATTGTACTTATATACACAACCCCTTAGCCATCAACACGACAACTTCAGCCCACCATGCTTATCGGAGTTTGTGGAGGTGAGCAGCTCAATGAATAGTTGGAAGCGCTCCCGCTCTTACATTCTTCCTAGGCATCTGTGCGGGCAAGTCCTCTATTGCCTCCTACCTCATCGAACGACATGAGTTCAAGCGCATTCGTCTTGCTCGCAATGCCTCTACTCCCGCCGTAGAAAAGTCCGCCTCGAATGCACATGTCCCCTCCGAGCCCGAATCCGCAAACGACGCCTTGTTATTCCCTGACATCAACTCCCTCCTTGATTTTGTGACCCGGCGTTGGCGAGAGAGATGGGTGACAACGGACATTTGGGACAATGATGTGGTGGATGCCCTACTGAAGCGTCCCTTCTTCCTGTTAATCAGTGTGGACGCTCCAGTGAGCGTGCGGTGGGAGCGGTTCAAGGACAGGTAATTGGCCCTGTCCCTCGAGGCATATGCTCTCGCTAACCGTGCAAGATGCGCGAGAAACGGGCTGACTCCCCCGTCCCTCGAAGACTTTGTACTACGTAACGACTCCCATCAGTACACGCCGGGGACTGGAATGAGTGCCTTGATCCAAAGAGCTCAGCTCAAGCTCCTCAATTCTCCCACCTCCATCCCTGCGCTCCACACGGCGCTAGACTTACTCGACCTCACCAACGACGGTAGGCTGCGGCCCAGCTGGGATCAATATTTCATGCGGCTCGCGGATTTGGCTGCGCACAGAAGCAATTGCATGAAGAGACGCGTCGGCTGTGTCATTGTTCGCGCGAAGCGGGTGATAAGTACTGGCTACAATGGGACTCCTCGAGGAATGACAAACTGCAACGAGGGCGGATGTCCCAGATGCAACAGCGCCTCTCGCGCCGGTGCGGACTTATCAACATGTCTTTGTCTTCACGCAGAGGAGAACGCTCTTCTGGAGGCTGGTCGCGACCGGATAGGAGAAGGATCCATCCTTTATTGCAACACGTGCCCCTGCCTCACATGCAGCGTCAAGATAACGCAGGTCGGGATCAGCGAGGTCGTATATAACCAGGGTTACTTGGTAGACACCAAGACAGCAGAGATATTTGCAGAAAGCGGAGTACGCTTGCGCCAGTTCGTCCCGCCCAGCGAAGGTCTTGTAGATCTCTCCGTAGGCACTCCCGTCGAAAATGGGTCGCGAGCGTTTACTACACTTGGAGACATACGGGAGATTCTGGACGATGCAAACTTTGTTCGGCCTGTCTAAAGAACTACAGCGATACATACTCCTTCCTCGGGGCTAAACTATGAGGAAGCCTGCAACAAACTTGGAGATCACATGACGGGAGCATTATCACGATCCAAGCGATCTCCTAGTTTCACTGGCCACTGTCCGTCAAATCATAATCAAGCAAGCGCTGCCCCTTTCTTCTATCCTTGCTTTTCTGAAGTTCTGCGGCCAATAATTCAAGCCACAATGCGACTCAGCCCTCAGCTTCGTGTTCGCCTTCCTAAGAACCCAAGTGTGGCTGAGCCGGCTGAGCATGCATTCGCACATATGCGATGGACCTCGTGTTGTGTTCCTGACGATAAATCATGGTATACATTTCCTGGTCTTGACAGCTAATGCTGCCCGCTTAGCAGACCCCGACCATAACCACCGCAATTGTTCATCATGTCCGAAGGACAGAGCATTCATCAGCCGCTTCCACAGAATTCTCGCACTATCCGCCTACTCGAGTTGATGCCTGCGACCTGGAACGATCCAATCTCATGTTACACTCGGCAAAGGCTATTGGATGAAGCGAGCGGAACCTATACAACCATTTCGTACACGTGGGGAAGTATAGAGACGGGAACTCGTCAAATATTCATAACGTGCAACTCGCACCGGATTTCATATCAGAGAATCTCTTCTCGATTTTACGAAGACTACGACGACCGGACCGCTCAGTTCTGGTTTGGGCGGATGCAATATGTATTGACCAATCGTCACCGAGCGAACGAACACACCAGGTTGGCCTCATGGGAGAGATATATAGGCGAAGCCGGGAAACAGTTATATGGCTAGGAGAGCAATCTGGGAATGACGATGTAGGCGAGCAGCTCTTGGACCATTGCATGACCACAGAAGATCGGCAGCTACTAAGACTGGGAGGCCCGCCCCGTTTGAGATTTGGCAACACTTACTCTGATAACCGTTTGCTCAGCGCATATGCATTGGATTTCCTCCTGTCCAAGGACTCCTCGCAGCATGCTCCTCTAAGCCTCCTCCCTTTTAACGATATCCTCCGGGCGTTCTGTTTGATATATTGCCTAGCTTCAGGAACTTCGAGTCTGGAGATCGAATTCTGGGATGAGCGCAATAACGTCGGTAAAAGCCCCACGGCGATGCAGACACTTCTACCAGGCACTGTTGAGTCGGCCAGAATGTGGAAAGGTTTTGAAAGGATAATGAATCGGCCCTGGGTAAGGAATGTGCCCATGTCCGTACGGGGATCATTGCTGATTGAGTCCGAGTTCACTCGCATTTGGGCAATCCAAGAGACGGTGTTGGCACGCAAAGCCACTGTACACTACGGTATGCTCTCAGCTCCGTGGCAGATGTTCGCCACCGCCGCCAGAAATTTCATGCAGGAGCGGCATTCCCTTTGTCTCGACCTCTCCGGCACACTACGGGGTTATGAAATGCTCTCTCAGCTCAGTATGACAATATTGCGCGTTGATGATGTGAGGCGGTGCCATCAGCTCTGCCTAAAAGATGCCACTTTGCTTTCACTGTTGTGGAAATTCCGGTCCCTGGAGTCGAGCGATAAAAGGGACAAAGTCTTTGCGCTGCTTGGAGTCACCACGAACTGGGAAGGCCAGTCCCCAATCCTTCCGGACTACAGCTTGGAACCGGAATCTGTGTTTATCTACACAGCACTGGACCTTATCCGACAATCGCGATCACTGTCTGTCCTTGCTGGGGTTCTCGACCCATTTTTGGGACGCAAGCGTTTGAAACGACTGCCTTCATGGGCCCACGATTGGTCTCTACCTTGTTTACAGGTAGAGACTGACCGCTTCAATGCATTGTCGATATATAACTCGTGTGGCGGTCGCTATGGGGCCGTCATCTTCCACCCCCAGCACTCGATTCTGCAGGTACAGGGACTGTACATTGGTGACGTTGTTGCTGTCGGGGAAATCTCACGACACACGCAGCTCAGCGACACGCTTGCCGTAATTCGTCAATGGAGGCTTTTGATGTTTGAATTTGCGTCTGCCCGCGACTGCTATCCAACGGGGGTATCCTACCAGCAAGCATTTTGGAGGACGCTGCTGGGAGACATGCTTTATATCGGAAATCCCAGTGGCGCAGGAAATGACACGTCGTACCGAAGAGCAACCAGTGCTTATTATACTGCATATGAGGCCTGGCGGATGTGGTCAAGGTGCATATCTCGAGACTCCATCAACCGTACCGCAACGTTCACTCAACAGGATCTCGACGAAGGGATATCTTCTGTGCACTACGCGATCAAGACTGCTACAGCATCCCGGGCCTTCTTCCTGACTAGCAATGGTTATATGGGCATTGGACCTCAATCGACGAGGCCAGGTGATCGCCTGTATATTGTTAAAGGCAGCAGAGTGCCCTTTCTGGTTCGCCCGGATAGCCTTCGCAGCTGCTATCGTTCAGACACTGACACAGTAGGTGAGAGCCGCATGATCCTCTATCCATCAGGTCGGGCTCCGGAGTCTGACATTGTGCATGTCTGTCGCGGGGACCACACTTGCCATTCGCTTCTTGGAGATTGCTTCGCTTTTGGACTGATGGATGGAGAAGCGTTTGAGAAAGGCGATTGCGATTTGACGAGTCTATTCTTGGTATGACCGAGAGAAATACAAGGGGATTTGACAGTGATGGATTCATTATCATCATCGAGGACAGGCCGGCAGACGATATCCCGCCGTGTCTTTGGTGTTCTGTTGATTGCTGTCGGCTCGAGGTTACTGAAGTACAGTATTGCAGAGACCCTGTTGACTCAATGCATCGTACCGTACATCTTTAACTCATCACAATATGGGCGCAGCATGCACCATTCAAGCCCGCTATATCTTACTATCCAATCGCCGGAGAAGCTTGAACACTCTCTTCTGATCATCTCAAGCACTGCTATTTTGCCTACCCGTACAGCCAAAGTCCGCCATCTCCCCCAGCTTCACTTTCTCCTTCTCTGCACTCTTCGTCTGCGCTTCTCTGACCCGTTGCTATCTTCCTTGTCCTCGTTCCTCTCGTCTACTTTTGATGTCTCCGTCCCTCTTCTAGGCATAGGACCAGACAACAGCCCACCTAATATTTGTTGCGAACCCGTCAATAACCCCGTTAGCATCAAGCAAAAGAGGCGGACAACGAAAACGTACGCAGAAGCACCAGCCCTCGTCAACTGCTGCGCTCCACTCAGTCACTTTTTCGCGTCGTTGTAGCTTTCACCACATCATGCACAAGTACGGTATACCAGACAAAATCCGAACTCCTGTAGAAAAGTGTCAGAACCTTGTTTGAAAATGACGCATTCAACGAAACACTGTTCCGATTTTAAAGGCAAACCGTCTTCTCATTCCACTCCCTCTCCATATGGGATGCTTGAAGAGCTTGCGTACATACGAGACGATTCTGGAGGTAACCGCTAACCTTGAAAGGCTACAGGATGTTGGACCTGAAGAAAGCGACTTCACAGCGTGAGCGCCTGGTTGAAGATCGGGTTATCTATTGATAGAAATAAGCGTATCTATCAGGGAGTAATATAACATGGCACTCCCTTTAGAAGTGAAGGAGATCCGCCGTCCTATAGTGAGGACTTCTTCATCCAAAGGAAGACATGAGAGAGGCCACCCCCGTCAGGCGATGGCTTGACCGGTCTTGACGGCGCCGCCTCTTGGAGAGGCTTATTGGCCATGGTTACCTCTGGTGCTGGCATCGCTGCGGCTGGCTTGTCGACGGCAAGCCCCACCGCAACAGGTGACTCCTCCACCGCGCCATCAACAGTAGACTGTGCAGCAGTGGGCTCCAGCTTAAGATCCTCTTCCTGTATCCTCTCCGCCTTCTTCTCAACATGCTTCTTCAGCCACTCAGTCTGCGCTTGACTGATCCTAAGATTCTCCTCCACCTCTCTCGTAATCTGATCCACCTCCTCCTGCAGCTGTTCGTCGCGCGTCTTCTTCGGTTCCTCCTGCATAACCCGCACACTCTCGGGCGCCGTCTCCGCCCACAATGCTTCCAGTTCCTCCAGCCAGCCCAGCGCTTTGGCCAGCTTCCTCACTCCCGCATCGCAATCTCCGAGCACAAGGACGTCGTCGGATCTGCATCCCAGTCCACCGACCTGCTCCTGGTTGATTAATACGCGAGGTGTGCCGTCGGAGCAGAACTGTGGTAACGCCGCGAAGGGGTGCACGCTCAGGCTCGTCCCCATTATGATACATAAGTCAGCTAGGGATGGCAGGTCCTTGTTTTCGAAGAAGGCGGAGGGTAGTTGTTCACCGAAGAACACAATGTCCGGTTTCACCAAACCATCGCACTCCAGGCATCGGGGAACTGATCTCTCGTGGATCGCTTTCCGCATGAGGTCGTCCGGGAAGGAAGCTTTGCAGTCAATGCAGCTTTGCCTTGGAACAACAGGTCAGCCCGGGTATTCGAGCATTTCCAACGGCCGCCGCATACCTAGCAAAACTCCCATGAGCCTCCACAATCATCTCTCCAGGCAGCCCCGCCTCGCGCTCCAAGCAATCGATATTCTGCGTAAACAACTTCAACAACAGCCCCTTCGTATGCAACAACCGTATGAAGGAATGCGTAATCGTCGGCCGGTACCTCCCCGGATACAGCTCCTGCGCCAGCGCGTAAAACGGCACCGGGTTCTCGCGGAAGTACTTGATGTCGAAGACGGCTTCGGCGTAGGGGAGATCGAGTCGCGCCAGATTCGCATATAGACCCGTGTCCGGGGAGCGGAAGTCGGGGATCCCCGCGGATGTGCTTATACCGGCGCCTGTCTTTCACACACACGGGTGAGATGTTAGCATACGGGTTTTTGGGAATTGGCGTTGCGGGGAACTGGATAGACGTACCATGACGACAATCCTCTTCGCTCGCCCTTCTTGGATATACTTGGCTACAGCGTCTATTGTCCTGCTATCCAGCGTTTGTGGAGGTGTATCCTCATTTACCATCGGCGCGGACTGGTCTTGCCCCATCTTGTTCCACCGATCTTTTCCTCGCCGGTTTTCTTTCCCTTTACCGTTCCGGCCTTTTTCGGAATCGCGCCGAGGTTTGGCGTGCTGCGGCTGTTGACGGTGCGCTTTGTGCTTGCGACCTATTTTGAAGTACTCTTGTAGGTTGGAAAAGAGTGCAATTGGTGATGTGGAAAGAATGGCGTGTGGCGTCGAGTTGGGGAAGCGTTGTCGATGTCGAATGTCCGATAAATACCTGCACCCCGCCAAATATGAAAACAAGACGCCGAATCTGTTAGATGCAAAAATGAGGCGAGTTCTTGGCGCATTTGCTTCTGATTTTTTCCCCTACTAGAATTACTATAGGAACCCTAACTACCTAGGAATCGCGCTGAATACGCTCTACAATATCTATATACTAGCTAGAAACTAGTTAAATATCTTAAATTTAAAGCTGTAGGTTATTCTTAAATAGGAAGTCTGTAATATTAACAGTAGTAGGAGTATAGAAATAGCACCCTAAAAGTGTGCCTATAAGTCTGCTGCTACTAAGGCTACTAAACAAGCTGCTGCTACTAAGGCTGCTGCTAGAGCTACTAGAGTAGCTATAGCTGTATAGACAGTAGCTGTTTAAACCTCGTCATTAAACAATATTTAAAATAGATGCCATCTATGTAGAGTTAGTTTTGCTGCGCTAATTATAGAGTCTATAGAGACTCTAGAAACTCTTAACGTGTTTAATCACCGAACCCGACAACTCACCAAATCCGACAAAATATCTTGGCACCACCAACTCATGTTATGAGTTTTCATTTTAATCACTATCAAAGAGAGAGCCTGCATATGCCATGCTTATATTAGATTCAGAAGATCCTTCTGTATCCTTTTTACAAGTTCGTATATTGTGCCCAGTTCCTCTATAGTTCCCACAGCGTCGTAGAGCTGGTTGGCCTATTTCATGATCACCACTACCACGAGCTTTCTTTGATTGCTGAGACGTCACAGATGCCTCAGCAGCTAACTGCACTGCTGCAATATCATAGTTCATTGTACTACCATGCTGAAGATGCTTCCTTTTATGTGCCTTTCGCTTGGTCATCACTGCCAATTGCTCTTCAAGCTCTGCAATGTAGGAGGCTTGAAGTGCATTTTGATGAAGCATAAGTTCAGCACCTTTTACAAGCTGAGAGGAGCCAGCCTGAGCAGTAAGAGGTGACCATGTAAAGGATTCACTTACAAGCTTAGATTGAGATCCAAACTCATGTGTATTCCTTGGAGTTATCAGATAGTAAGCCAGTTTATGGACATCCCATCTGGGACTAGAGAGGAGGACTAGGAGAAGGTGTCTGTACCAGTACTATCTGGGGATATATGGCTAGTGATTCTGCAGTGGCTAGTGCCCTACGCAGCCTTGATGCCTAGAGAAGGAATATCAAAACCGGTGTCAGGCCCTAGCCTCACATAAAAACACACACACCTGAATACAATCAGTCAATCCATCTTCATTCAATCTTTCTATCACCATGACATCTTCAGATACCATCAAATCTGATAATTAGGAGTCTCACTGCCTTTACCAATATGTCTGCCAATACTATCAACAACTAAACTCAAGCCACTCTGGCTACCAGCAAGGACTGGACCTCCTGGTTCATCCAACTACAATCCAAGGCAGATGCATCGGATATCTGGGACATGATTGATCCTGATGGATTCAAGGAGTTCATGGAAAGATCTACTGCTCTACTCAAGCCTCAAGTCTCAGACTATGAGCCTGCACTCCCAGCTATCCCCACTATTGAGACTGCTTCTTCTAACACCATGAGCACCAGAAGCTGCATCCAATAATCCATCCAAGCTACCTCCATGAATGATGAAGTAATCGACCATGTTCTATCCAGGTTCCTGTCAGACCTATCAACTTCAGGTCTCAAGGCATACAAAGATGATTTGGAAAACTGGAAGATAGAGATAGAAGCATACAAGGAAGAATGGAGGGAGTGGGAGAGAGAACAAGCAAGTCACAAAGATTTGGTCAAACACATCCAATCTACTGTCTCCAAGCATCTGTAGAAGACATGTTGCTGCTTTGGTACTCAACTGAGAGAGCAAATCAGATTTCTCAGAACCACTGTTGGAATTGAGGATGATGTGGAAAGAGACAAGGTCAGGGACCATTATTTGGTGGCTCTGAGACCTATGAGATATGCCACCTCATGGGAAGGTTGGCTTGTAGAGTATGATGGGGCTGCCACTGAAGCTGAAGCTGAAGGGGTCTCTGAAACTCTGAGAATTCATGATGTAGTCAAGGACTTCCTGGCTGCAGTGCAGAAAGTTGCACCAATCTGGATATCACAGTTCAGAAGAGAACTCCAGAATCCAAGGATGTCTAGGAGACAAATGATGAAAGAGTTCAAGATGTACATGGAAGCTGAATACCCAGTCAAGAACAAAAGCCACAGGGTGGTGTTCTTCACTGGTGACACCTCCCCTGCCTCTTCTGAGTATGGCGTGCCTATCCAGGGCAGCAGACAGGATGCTGGTTATGCTGCTGATACTCCACATCAAGGTGAAGAAGGAGAAGACCCTGAAACCATGGTGAAGAAGGGGAAGACCCTGAAGCCAAAGTCCTTTGGGAGACCGAAGAGGTACCAAGGGCACAGAGTTGGTGAAGAAAGACAAAGTCTTGAAGCCATACCTAAGCAGCTCAAACATGGAAGACATGGAGTACCAGTGGCAGCTGGAGGCAGATGCTCTGCTTGTGATCTACCCCATTCACTCAAGGATTGCTTTTATGTATTTCCAGAGAAAGCTCTTGAAGGCTTCAATCCCAGACCCTGGATAGCTAAGATGGTGCAACTAGCACTTTCATCTGATACTGATCTACAAGGGATGGTAAGAGGACTAAGGAATGCCAGGTCTTCCAAGATACCTAGGTTCAGAAAGGAATAACACCCAAATCTGAGGCATGGAAGGAATGACTTGAAGGCCAGAAGATATCAGCAATCAATGCTACATTTGTGATGGCATCATTTAGAGCAGAGTTCTCTGACTACCCATTGAAACACTATTTCATCTTGGACTCAGGTTCTACTTGTCATATCACAAATGATAGAGGACAACTCTACTATGTCCATGATCCAATGCCAGGTGACTACATCTGGGCTGGCAACTCAAAGGTATGGATCCAAGGCTATGGTTCACTGATCTTTCACCTCACAGGACCCAATGGGCATACCAAACTTCACCTCACCAATGTGGCCCTGTGCCCAGACATCATGTGTAATCTGGTCTCATTTAGACAACTCAGAATGCAAAGAATATGGTGGGATAACAAGAGTGATCCTACTCTCCTCAGGCTCATAGACAACACCCCAATCACCTACCTCAAGGACAGACACAATCAATGGATCATCCAGCACTATGATCCATCCCAATCTACCTTCCATACTCAAAGGATCAAGTCCAGGATCAAGAGATCACCACAGAAGGCAGATGCTATATTGTGGCACAAGAGATTGGGATATCCAGGACCATCAGCAGTAGAACACCTTGTCCAGCAAGCTGAGGGGGTGAAGATCAAAGGAATCACTACTGTTCAGTGCAATGTATGTGGAAGGGCCAAAGGCAAGAGGAGAATCAGGAGGATCTCAAGAGTCAATGATGAAGGACTAGGAGAGAGACTTGCTGTGGACTTTCATGAATATGAGGAAGGAAGCATCACCAAGAAGAAGAGTCAAATGCTGGTCACCTGCAGGAACTCAAGATACTCATGGGACTTCTACTTCAAGGACAATAGGCTAGCCAAGTCAATTATCAAGCAGCTGGGAATCCTCATCTCATTCCTCAAGAAGCAATTCAATATCATAGTCAAGGTCATTGAGACAGACAATGAGATAGTCACAGTCAAGCAAGAAGTGTACCAGTGGTTGTTAGGACCAGGAATCAAGGTTGAACTATCTGCCCCAGACACACAGGCCTAGAATGGAGGAGCAGAGAGACTAGGGGGATTAGTGAAGGAAAAGTCAAGAGCAATCAGGTTGAATGCCAATCTACCCTTCAACCTTTGGCCAGAGATAGTCAGGGCAGCTGTCTATCTCCTTAACAGGACCTCACTCTACTCCAATGGATGGAAAACCTCATATGAGAAGTTCTTCACACCAGTGGCTCTCCAACATGGAATCCCAACTCTGTCCAGGAAGCCAGATCTTTCTCACCTCAAGGCCTATGGATGCAAGGCATTTGCCCTCTCTGATGATACCCATAGAGGAAAGTCAAGACTGCAGAGGCTGGATCCCAAGTTATGGATTGGATACTTGGTTGGGTACCAGTTCTCCAATATCTTCAGGATCTGGATACCAACTCTGGGAAAGGTCATCAGCACCAGAGATGTTGTGTTTGATGAGTACACTGTGTTCAATGGAAAGGAGGAAGAAATCATGGACAATCTCATACATAGCATCACTGAGGAGATTGCTAGATAGGTGAAGAGTGTGGAACTTCTACCTCCTCCATCAGGTGAACAAGAGACCCAGTCATTCTATGAGGATGAAACCATTAAAGATACTTCTCAGGATAATCAAGAAGAACCAGACCAACCAGGATACCACCAAGGAAGAAAGATCATGGGTCCTTATCCTACTCCACCTGATACACCACCACCCATGACACTCTTGGCCCAACTTCTCTCAGGACCTGATGAACAGCATCTATCACTCCAGGATACTGGCACAGCTAAAACAGTACTGTGGCATGCTGCATTCATGGCTAGAATACAAGCAGGCAATGTTGGATCCCAAGAAGGGAAGCCAATTGACAAGGTACACTTGAAGAGGTTGCTAGCTCAGGGGGTGAAGCCACACAGGAACCAACTACCACCTCCACCCAAGCACTATTGGCAACTCAAAGACTATGAGCTCAGGGAACAGTTTGAGGAAGCAGAAAGAGCACATCTTAGATCCCATATCTCTACACAATCCTGGACTGAAGTCTCAAGCAAGGAGGTGAAGGATACTGGTCACCAAGTCCTGGACTGCATATGGGTATATGTCTACAAATTTGACAAGCACCACAGACTAGACAAATACAAGGCCTACCTGGTTGTAAGAGGAGATCAACAGAGGAATATCATATCTCAAGACATATATGCTGCAACCTTAACAAGGAGATCTTTCAGGATGATGATAGCCATTGCAGTATACTTTGACCTGGAACTCAAGCAATATGATGTTACCAATGCCTTTGTGCATGCATCCATGGACAGAGAAGTCTA